CACATACAACATAGCACCACAGTGTACGCAACAACATAGTACCACAGTGTACGCAACAACATAGTACCACAGTGTACGCTATACTTATATTCTACCGCAGTGTAGATCATAATAATAATAATTAACCAGGTACACAGATACCAAAGTCAAAGATAAACATTTACCTGTTACAGACATACTCGTTGGTTAATCATCAACAACACGGCTAGTGCAGAGCGCGCACTGCCGGTCAGAATGGTCGTATCGGCGCAAAACAACATGCGATGAGCTACGTCATCGCTACACGTGTTTAGAACGGCGTAAACAAGTGACTCAACTGGTCGCCCACCACATGTTAATAAAAAGCCGCCCGCTGCAGCGGAGCGGTCATTCGATTGTGGGCACTCAAAGAGTGAACAATTAATTTATTATAGGTGAATCGAGTGTTAACTATTTCACTTTAATTATAAATTGATTTTTGATTGAAGTGGAGTTTGTTATTTTAAAATTACCTCAGTAATGGAACACCATAGTAATAATAATGATAGTGACGTCGGCTGTGCCGATGTCACAATTTTTAAAAACAACGCTGGCTCAGCTGATCCGTTATATATAATTAAAAAAAAAAACCACCGTGAATTACATTGACCGATTTTTTTAATTATTTTCTGACAAAATCATACCCTTTATCCATGCATGCATAAAAACTCATTACAAAAATGGGGAAATCATCATCATCAGCCTATCGCAGTCCACTGCTGGACATAGGCCTCTCCCATTGCACGCCACTTAGATCGATTTTGGGCTTCTCGCATCCAGCTCCTGCCAGCCATCTTGCGCAAATCGTCACTCCACCTGGCCTGTGGGCGTCCTACACTACGTTTGCCGAGACGCGGTCTCCACTCAAGAACTCGTTTTCCCCAACGGTTATCGGTTCTGCGGCTAATATGGCCAGCCCACTGCCACTTCAGCTTGCTGATCCGGTACGCTATGTCGGTGACCTTAGTTCTCTGCCGGATCACCTCATTTCTGATGCGATCCCTTAGAGAAACGCCGAGCATAGCCCTTTCCATAGCACGTTGAGCGACTTTGAACTTGTGGACCAGCCGTACCGTAAGTGTCCACGTTTCAGCTCCGTATGTCATGACGGGTAGGACGCACTCATTAAAGACTTTCGTCTTAAGGCACTGTGGGATCGACGATGAGAAGACTCGACGTAGCTTCCCAAACGCTGCCCAACCCAACCGAATTCTTCTGTTCACCTCGTCCTCGAAGATGTTTCTACCTAACTGCAATGTCTGCCCGAGGTACACATAATTTTGAACAACTTCGAGAACGGCACCATGTACCGCAATCGGTTCCGGTAGTACATGTTCGTTGAACATGACCTTGGTTTTATCCAAGTTCATCCGTAGGCCGATGCGTACAGAAGTGTCAGCTAAGTCATTCAGCATTTGCTGTAGGTCCTGCAACGTCTCTGCCATGATGACGATGTCATCTGCAAATCGCAAGTGAGAGATGTATTCGCCATTGATATTGATGCCACGCCCTTTCCAGTGCAGCGTCTTGAACATGTCCTCCATTGCATTTGTGAACAATTTCGGGGAAATAACGTCCCCTTGTCTCACTCCTCGATGCAATGGTACGGGCCTTGTTTGCTGATTCTGTACTTGGACGGACACGGTGGCGGCTTCGTAGAGACATCTCATCACTTGGATGTATCGCCAATCTACTTGGCAACGCTGCAGGGACTCCAGAACAGACCAGATCTCGATCGAGTCAAAGGCTTTCTCATAGTCCACGAATGCTAGACACAGGGGCTGATTATATTCTTCGGTCTTCTGTATAATCTGCCGCACTGTGTGGATGTGGTCTATGGTGCCATATCCGCTCCGAAACCCAGCTTGCTCCGGTGGTTGGAATTCGTCAAGTCTTTGCGCAAGACGGTTCGTGATGACTCTCGAAAACAGCTTGTAGACGTGGCTTAGAAGGGATATGGGTCGATAGTTCTTCAACCTGGTCTTGTCACCCTTTTTGAAGAACAAGACGACCACACTCCTACTCCACGCTTCTGGAGTTCTCCCTTCAAACAGGACAGCGTTGAAGAGCTTTTGGAGCTCCCTTAGTACGGGTTTGCCCCCGGCCTTCAGCAGCTCTGTTGTAACGCCATCCTCTCCAGGGGCTTTTCCATTTTTCAGCTGTCCAAGAGCCATCTCGATTTCGTCAATGCTAACTTCTGGCAGGTCTTCGGTGTAGTGACGCGTTAATGTGGCTCTAGAGTCCTCATTTTCGGGATCAGGTCGAGATGCATGCGAAGCGTATAACCGGCCATAGAAGCTTTCCACTTCCAAAAGGACTGGCGGCTTCGAAGCAACGACTTCTCCACTTTCTGTAGTCAACTTTGTCAGGTGGCTTCTTCCAAGAGATTGTACGAACACTTTTGACCCCCGATTTTGCTCGATCGCTCTTTCAATTGAAAGAGTATTGGAGCACCGGAGGTCGTGTCGTACGAGTTTACTGATCTCTCGGTTTAGAGTCCGCTTTGCCGCCAAAGTGACAGGTGGGTTTTCACGTCGTTTCTTCATCAGCCCTAGGGTCCTTTCTGAAAGCTTCGACTTCCTGCCCTTACGCTGCATTTCACAAAATCTCATACCTTCTTCCCTGAGGATCTGAACCACATTTTTGAGGTTCTGGTTTACGTCGATTGTGGTTTCCACAGCAGCGAATCGGTTTTCCAGTTTTGACTGGAACGTTTCAGATCCTGTCATGGCTTGGAGCCGAGTTGGTCGGAGCCTGGATTTCATCAAACAGACACGTTCCGCCTTAAAGTTGATATTCAGAGAGCCCCGGACAAGTCGGTGATCACTACCGGTATTAAACCTATTGATCACTGAGACGTCTCTGAATATGTGCTTTCTATCCGTCATGATGAAATCGATCTCATTTCTAGTCATAGCGTCGGGGCTTTGCCACGTCCACTTCCTTTGGGGCTGTTTCTTGAAGAAAGAATTCATCAAAAACAGCCCCTCCCGTTCGAGGAAGTTGACCAGCATTTGCCCCCTATGATTCCTGCTTCCAAATCCATGGGATCCTACTACCGATTCGCCGCAATTCTGTACTCCCACTTTAGCGTTGAAGTCACCCATAACAACGTTGTAGTGGGTCTTAGTTGTGAAGTGGAGGGCCCTCGATATGTCATCGTACATATCCTCCACCTCGTCGTCCGAATGTGCCGAGGTCGGTGCGTACACTTGCACAACCTTGAGGCTATACCTCTCGGTGAGCTTGATAATGAGGTACGCTACCCTGTTCGACACACTGAAAATTTCCACAACGTTGTCAGATAGGGACTTATTTACCAGAAACCCAACCCCACCTTGGGATTGTTGGTCTCCCTCGCGGAAGTACATTAGGTGGCCTGACTCGAGGGTTATGGTGTCCTCCCCCTCTCTTCGGACTTCACATAGCCCTAGGATATGCCACCTAATCTTCCCAAGTTCCACCTCAAGTTGCGCCAGATGCGAGTCTAGCCGTAGCGTGCGTCCGTTGTACGTAGCCAGGGTCAGTCGGTTGTGGTGGCCTCCCGTAGCCCGGAGATTCTTCGCACCCCCTGCCCCGCCTTTACCGTGGTCGATGGGGAAAGTTACGCTGAAACTTTGAACAAAATTTGAAAAAAAATCTGTTGAAAAAGTGCACACCTAATGTATCAACCATTCCAAGAGTGGTCAAAAATTTTAAAAGAAACTGGGTCGATTATGTTTATTAAAAATTCTTTGCGTCAACGTACCGGTCAGTCTTTTGAAAAAATTGCTGCTGTAAACGAGAGTGTGGCCGAAAACCCGAAAACATCAATTCGGCATCGTTCTCAACAACTTCAAATTTCACAAAGCACTACGCAACGAATTTTGACAAAAGACCTCCACCTTTATGCGTACAAGATTCAGCTAACTCAGGAGCTCAAACCAGCAGGCTATGAAAAGCGCCAGCAATTTTTGCAATTTTTTTATTAAAGATACATAGATAAGAAAAAACCAGTCTATTTCTCATAAAAGTTAAAGATTATTAATATTTTTAACAAATAAATTCGAACAAATGGGCATTACGTCACTTGTCAGCGAACACCTATCAGAAAGTGTTACGTCACGCCACGCAAAACATCATTGTTGTTATTGACGTTTTCATACAACAGAGCAGGTTACTCTATATTGTGTTTCGTTTTTAGCATGTTTTCACACCTTAATACAGACTCAGTTGACACTGGACAGATATAAACAGTCTTGTTTCGTAGACTGTGACGTCATTCTAGACGCAATGACACTATTCAGCGTTTTCAATCGAAATTTAAATTGTTTTTTTTTAATACAAAATACGTATGTAAATATTGCTTTTTCTTTAAAATATAGGTTTTTTTGGGATAAATAGATATTAAAGTAAATAACTAACCAAGTTTTCAAACTCACTGCACTCGCTCGGCTCGCGTGCTATAAGGTCGCTGTTCTAATCGAACCTAACAGTCCTCATTGATTCTCTCGTCATCGTACCTAACGGAGAACTTACTGAAATTAATAATTTCACACAATTAAAAATTTTCCAAGTTCTATGGACCCCAGGTCGGGTTTTTTGGTAGACGTATAGCAAGAAATGTCGGAAAAAAGTCTTGTTACACATTTTTAGTTCTCAATTCCATTCGCTCAGAACGTGTAACACTCGATAAGGAACTTCATTTCAAAATATTTTCGGACTTCCGATAATGGGATTTAAAAAGTTGTGTGAAAAAATGCGAACGCATTCTCTTTGGTTGTCATTTTAATCATAGAGTAAAATATATAGCTGTGGCTGTCGTTGTCGTTAGCGGTTTATCCTAGTGATCAATTTGTGAATGTGACTCTTGAGTCTTTCTCCTCCGTTCTTGTGGTTAGTGGTTGCAGTGCGCGTTATTTAGTCTGGGTTGATTACCTTTGAAACGATTTCGTTATTGTTTTATAGCATTATAAATCGGATTTGTTTATTCTAGTATCAAAATGGATGATGAAGCCAGCTCTGATATGCAGGTGAGCGCACAGATTAATTTTATATCTGAGGTTACAATGCGACAAAACAATACTATATTAAGTGCAAATAGTTATAGAGATCATAAGAATTTAATTTTTTGCAGAAATGTCTCTCTGACGGACCCATGGATACTGACGAAGGACCATTGATTAACGAGAACTCGAACGGGTTATCACATTTGCTGACAGAGGGCGAATTCAACAGTGTAGATGCAGCGGTTGATGAGTCGTCGACTTCGAATCAAGGTTTTCTCAATGCGGTGGAGCTGTCAGCGGGTAGCGTTGGCGACTACCTGGACAACAACACAGATGGGTTTAACACTGACTCTTTCGATGTGGGCGATAATGCAGTCAATTTCCCCAGTGACTCGCTTAATAACGTGCTCACCGACGGCGACTCGCTACTTAGTCACGATGCAGTATATAAGGCCACCTCTGATACTGATGGTGATGTTACAGAGAGTCAGAAGGCGACGGTGGATACTGACTTTGACATCAGTGAAATGTCTGATGCTGGCTATTCAATATCAGCTGATGATTTAATTCAAAAGATTGATGACAACACTACAGATGCTTGTGAAGAGAAGGAGAATACTAAAATGGAACAAATTAATGACAAAGAGAATACATCTTTTGAAAATTGTGAAGAGATAAGTAAAAATAATGATAAGGTGAGTTAGCTATTTTGTGGTAGTTTGTGTTGTATTGTGAACCTAGTGGCTTTTGTATACTATCACAAGTTAGGATTCTTTTATTTGAGAATTTGCAGTAAAAAGTTAGTACCATAATTGGTTAAGTGTAATAGGGGTAACAAGAGCTTAAAATTAGTTATATATTTAAAAATAAAATTAGTTATATTGCTTTTATAACATGGTTCATCATTAATCCTAAAAAAGTTGATTAGATTGTAACCACAACTGTTCAAAACGAATGGTCAGAGTAGGCATGTTGATTTTATGTACTTACATTATTCTTCCATCATGTTGTCTTAGTATAGACATGCCTTTCTTCTTTAAATTAACAGCAGACTTGTATTAGATAAACAACTGCTGTTAAAATTTAAAGAAAAATATCCTAATTTGTAAATTGATACTATTTGTATAATACTTTAGCTACGTCCCATTCTTAATAACATTTTTGGTTATTTGTTAACATATTCTCATGCACCGTAACTGAAATGAATAGGTAACTCCTGCAATTTTGCTTGCTACCTCTCAAAAGAAGTTAATTTTTACTTTTTTGCAAAAAATTTTTTTAGATGCTTGGCCCCTATTGGTTGTATCCAGCACTAAAAGTATTTTTCAATTCAAACCAGTAGTTCCTGAGATTAGTGCATTCACTAAAACAAAATAATCAGCTTTATAATATTAGTATTAATTGAAAGATACATTTGCATTCGAAGTTAAGAAAAACTGAGACATTTTAACTGATAGTACTAGTCGAGTAGATAGTAGACATAATAGAAGATTCATTTATTATTCATATACAAATTTTTTTTTTGTATATACAGAAAGTGACATGTTGACAATTTTTATTAAGAAAGTAGGTATATTTTATTGCAATTGCTACACATTTTCAATTTAGAATATTTTTTATCTTGGGGATGTTATACGTGCTGTAACATTCAACAATGAAAGAAATTTAAGAATATACCTGATCATGCTGCATCTCTGTGTTGTTCAGTCTCAACCTTAATATTTCTATGATTTTAGTGTAGCTATTTGTAGTATAGAAGTAGTGATATATAATTGAGTATTATTGAATCTTTTGATGTTTATTTATCATGTTTGTCTTGATCTTATGTTTTTTTTTAATGAAATTATTTAGCTGTAATATTTCTTTTTTGTAAATTATATAATTATAACCTACACATTTGATGATCTTTCCATCCTTTTTGGTCTTTTTCCATGGATAAAAGATAACCTATTACTAGTGTAGATTTCATAATGACTGGTTAGGTGGCCTCTCAGCACAAAACATGTGTGTGTATGACTAGAATTAACTTTTGGAAGTTTACAATTAAGAACAAACAAAGTTAATATTATATATAGGTTATATAGATAGACAGCCTATTTACTGAATAAAGTTGTAGGCTGTAACTGACAGGGGTGGAGCAAATCCATTCAATTTGATTAATTTGTGTGGAGCATCTATAAAATAATAAAATAAAGACTCTCTAGTACTATCTAACTTTCTAATAATTCTTACACTGGTATAATAGTATAAATATATATTAATGTCTGCATGCATTAATTATTAAATGTAACACAGTTCTTCTGCTGCAACAATATAAGTGTGGCCATGCCTTTAACATCAGTGTATTTCTGTATTGCTTCATGTATTAATAGCTCTATTATATTCTATAGAAGATATAGAATATAATAGAGATACATCAATATTTAATTTTACTATATTCCTTTCGTATTATGTAGAAATAAAACATAAAAAGAGCTCTCAAGTCTATGTAAGCAATTATAAGGCTTGAAGATAATTTTAACTCCCTGTTAATAATATTACAAGGTTTTCTTCACAATAAATGTCCTATTTAGCGTTGCAACCCAAACTTAAACATATTTACGCTATTCATCAAAAAAGATGTTTAAAACCACAAATATGTCAAGTGGCAATGCTAATGTAAAAATGTACATGTAGACAGAATAATAGTAATATATATTATTCCTATAAACTGGGATGCTAGGAATCACTTTGTTAGCCAATTTAAGTAATTTCATAGGAGAATAAGTTCTTCAAAGGTTAGGTTTCTTATGTAGTTCTATTATGCAATAAGATTATTCAATTTAAACATTTAATTAACAAGGGAAACTACATATTTGCATGGTTAATATTTTATTAGGCACCGTAGTAGTTTCACCAACTTTTGTTAATTATGATTAATTTTTAGTTCAAAACTGATAAAACAAACATTTAACAGTTACATACAATTTTGCCAATACAGTCAGTCACATAATAAAATTTTTAACAATGTTTTAACTTTGTATAAAGTTTAAGTTATTTTAATACACAATAATATGGAAAATAATCATTTTTTCTTAACAAACAAATGAAAATTGACAAAAAATTAGTTACAATGGTGTTGATATAATTGAAAATCATCTAATTCAAAAGAATATTAAATTCAACATGTTGTTTAATATTATACACACACATTTATATCACTCCTTTAAAACTAGAAGGATATATTATTACTTATCTTTTTAACATTTCATTGCAATAAAATGTGGGTCATGTTACTACACCGAATCTAATTTAAATTACTGTATAAATTCAATTTAAACTCAAATATTTGAATGCATGTGTTTGTGCATGAGCTTATATGCATATCATGTGTAATAGTTTAAAACTATTTATATTTAACAGCTTGAAGTTCCTGAAGAGCTATCTGAACATACTAAGAAACAAGATGATCGCAAACACAAAATGCATGTATGTTTAATTCTAATTAATCATTTAATGTTGATTCAGTAATAATTAAATGATAATGATGATATTTATTTTATTTCAGCCTGACGTTGGTATCATAGAAATACCTGATGAAAGTTCTGTAGATGAACCTGAAAACAAAATTTTAAAAGAAGCTAATGAAAATGTGACTCCAAAAGGAAATGAAAAAATTGATGATAATGAAACAGCTACACCACTGGTTAATGCAAAGAAAATTAATGAAATGACCAGTCAGGAAATTGATGACCGTAATACAGAGAAGAGCCCAGAGAAAAATAGTGACAATAGCACAGGGAATACTGATGAAAACCTTTCTGAAGAACACAAGGAAGAAGTTGCTACACCAACTAAGAAAGTCAGCAAGGTTTGTAGAATGTTATAAGAAGAATGAAATAGTTTTGTGGACTGCCAATAGAAATATTATTCCAAGTCATTTAAACCATTGCTTTTCTTAAAGGTGGGAGGAGCTGAGGAAACTGAAGTGGTTTCGGAAGATGAACTGCCTGAGGTACAGAAACCAAGTGTAAAAGATGCGGAAAATGTATCTGATGATGAACTCCCTGGCCCTAAACCTGCTGAATTACCAGCTGACACTGAGGTAAAATTCTCAAACATTGATACTTACATAGTTCATGATACTTGATGGTTCATGCATGCATGCAGGGATGAATGCATCTAATTAGAACAGTTCCTCCATACGGCTACGAGACCCCGACATATTCGAGCTAATGTAATCGCAGGCCCGGTTTCCCATTCAATACTTTCTGATTACCCAAATTGACCTTTTTCATTTGTCACCTCAGTAGGATTGCATTCCTGAGGAGAATGTGCGTCAGTTAGGTCGATAAGAAAGCTAAATTCCTTTGAAGTGTTACACCTTTTATATCAACCCCCAATTTGAAGGAAAAACAGCAGAAAGATGATAACATACATTTTTTTTACCAATGCAAATACATGTTTACAAAACATTCTTTTTTAATCATTAGAAATGCATTAAGATTATTTTAAACTTTTATAGCACCTAAATGAAACCGGATCAATTGGCTTGTTCGATCAAACCTTTCATATTAAGTTGACAAAATATGTGGCTTAATTGGTAATTTGTGGGCGATCTGGAGTCTAAACTTAGCCTTGGCCTGTATTTTAGAGCTCCAGGTCCCTCAATATGAATTTACGGTAATATTATCAATGCTGTTTTTAAGCGTGGATATTTATGTACGAATGCGTGTATGTGCGCGTGTGTGTGTGTTACATATATATATCTATCATATATATAACTATCTCTAGCAACTTTTCTGTTTCTAAATAGTTTAGATTGAGTAGTAGCTTTTGTATTTTGGTTTTGCAGTCTATCTAGCGTGTGGAACCACTTACAGCTGACAACGCACTTGGGACTCTTTGAGTTGCAGGTGTCTATTGGCAGTGGTAGCCACTTGGGTTCACCCGGCGAACCGTTTTCTTCTAATACCTTAAAGAAAATAACAAACAGAACTATTTATGAAATTTATTTTATAGTGCTCTAATTAAATAGGTCCATATTTTTAAGGTTGTATCTGAGGATGAACTACCTGCTTCTAAGAAAGATTCCAAAGAATCTCGTAAACGAAAAACTGAAAATGAACGTGATGGCTACGATCCTGGCTCACCCACATCTGAAAGCGAATCCTCAACCAAAAAACAAGCTATTGTCAAGGTGTATAGCTTTTCAATTCACTGTTTAATTTAGTTTTGTGTCTTTAAATGTCAAGAATTTACGAAAACTCGTTCATTGAGTATTTTCTTTGCTAAATGTTATTTTGGGAAAAGAAATAATAATATACATTTAATGATATGCCAAAAAAGTGTAATGTTAGCAATTAATAATCTATATGATAGCATTTTTCAGGGCATATTTCATATTCAAGAATATACTTTATTAAATCTGTGATGCATAGGTTGATTTTCAACTACACTAAATTGATGTTTAAGTAACAAACGTGTATGGATTCGTAATTTCTAAGGATCACTAAATTATAGCTCATTTTTAAATTTATGGTGTTGAATTATTAATTTAGAATGGCGAAAGCAAACCGGTACCGTTAGAGAAGAGAAGTTCAATTGATGAAAAGCCGAAAAAGAAAGCCCTTCCTGAATTAGACAAGTACTGGAAAGTAGTCAATGATGACCCAACTGACTTCACTGGCTGGACATATCTGTTACAATATGTTGATCAAGAGGTAAGGGTTCTTTTTTTAAATATCATAATAAACTTTAATAAAAGTATCACTGACATCATGATGGATTGTAAAAACTGTATTCTTCATTCATTTATTTTCCATCCATCCAGGGGTGGTATATTACTTCAAATGTGATTGTAAATTACTAAAATTTTCTAATTAAAAAAAAAACTAATTGATTTAAAAATTACGGAGTTCCGGGGTATGGAACATCCAATTTGAGAACCTCCTCTTATTTCGAAATTGGTAAATTAAAATGATAAATGAACATTTCAAAAAATTGAGATCCGGATATTTGTTATATATATATTTCTGTGTTGCCAAATACTTACAACAGGTTACGGTGAAAATATGTATCGTAACATCAGTGACGTAACAACCTATCCATAGAGGTTTGGCGACCCTTCTACCTTATAATAATACAAATTTTGTGTCGGCAGCAGCTACTCTAGTTGAGTAAGTTTTGTCGAACGAAAGTTAATTGATTACACTGAAATCTATTTCACTTTAAGTCCTCCAGAAAACTTTCAAAATAAATTCGAATGTTTAAAAAAAATTGAAGCCATAGTTAATACGTGATGAAGACTAACGCTAATCTTATTGCTTTATGAAGCGATAAGAACTGAATACAAATGTCGAGTGGCAAGGGCCAACTGATTAATTAGGTGTAGCAATACAATACTCGTACAACTGTTGATCGATGTATAGTGTGATAACGAATACGTTTGTAAACACGACAGAGTGACGTGGAGGCAGCGCGCGAAGCTTACGACGCTTTCCTTTCGCACTACCCGTATTGTTACGGCTACTGGAGGAAATACGCCGATTATGAAAAACGTAAAGGAAGTAAAAAGAAGTGCCTCGAGGTGAGTGCCAGACACTTTAGTATTGTGTATTATTTTTTGCCTTTTAAATCATTTGGTGAGATGTTACGACTTAAAACGACTGTGATTAGTTATATAAATGTTCCTTAACACTTGGAATTTGATATGTTTTAGTCATAACTGGTATTTTGCAATTATTTTTTTTCCCAACAGTGCAACGAGGTCCACGATGTTCGTAAGGCAAAGTCGTCCGTTCACACCGGAGAGTTCTGTTACCTTCACATAGATCTCGTTCTAGTGATTAATAATGATTTGTGGTTTATATTTTATAATAATTTAGTACATACATTTATTATACTTTGTACACGCATGATGTATTAATGTAATACCGTTTCATGTATTATTATTTAAGTAAGTACTTAATGAGTGGTGGATATAATTATTAAGATTAACCAGTCCATGGTAGCATGGAAGCGCAGCCAGCCTTCATTTTTAGCCATTGAATGGCGGTTGTAGAAGAGCCAGCGAGACGCCGCGAGCTGCCACCGCGCCGAGTGCGAACAGGTGTAATATACCCGACACACATTTTATATTGAGCGGACTCGGCGAGCCGCGGCGTGCGGCACTCTGTCGCGCCCCCAGGTGCCCCGCGCCCCACGGTCCCTCGCGCCCCACGGCGCCTCGCCCCCCACGGCCCTTCGCCCCACGCCGCGGGCCGCCACGTCCGCACTTAATTATTATATGAAACATTATATGCTGTTCAATATTCCCTTGCTTCATAGTGTTGTCGTGAACGCGGCGCACTTCGACACTCGTGGAACACGTTTAATGCCATTTCATTTTTCAGGTTTTGGAAAGGGGTCTTAAAGCTATACCTTTATCTGTCGATTTATGGATACATTATCTAAATCATATCAAGTCTACTAGAACCGATGACCACACCTACCTTAGAGCTCAGTATGAGAGAGCAATCGGTAAGATCTGAGTTTTATTTTGTTTTAATATTTTATATTCACACATGTTCCGCATCGACTATTTCATGAGCACCTATGATTCACTCTTTCATTGTTTGAAATTTCTGTATGAGTCGCGTCGGCGTTTTCGAGAATTTTATTTACTGTATGTTAACTCCTCGATGCCAGGAACTCGTCAGCTGCGTGTTTAGGATTTTGTTTAAGATGCCGAGAAAGCACATGGCTACTCTAACTTACAACCGTAATCTTAATTCCTAAAATCTAATTTATATATTCCATTGAAAATCTCAAAAGTAACCCTGAAAGGATTAGCTTACTAATATGGACAGTATACCTTACTTCGATCATGTATATCATAGCTTTGCCACTACCACTTTAACTGCTAAAATTAGTTATGAGCAGTTTTGTTTCAAGACGAATCGTACTCGCATTAGCGATGTAACTTTTCAACTGCAGTAAAAAAAGGGAAAAAACTGACCTTTATTAGTAAAAATATAAAACAAAGTCGATAAGCATAAATAATGTCAGTCAATCTAGATTTCATAGTACAAGCTCTGCTTAGTTTGAAACTAGATGGCGTTTGTATCACAGATGTCCGAAATATTATTATTATTATTGTGATAACTTTCATAATTTGAAATTTGTTATTCTGCAATAGGTATGTAAATTGTGCACCTATCCCTTTCCCTATCATGACGTGCGTGGGGCACACTTCCCTCGAGTCTAATTAAAGTTGGGATTAGGCATATGGTGTTAGTATAAGTTCGGCGTCTAGATAAGTAATAAACTATAGACACTACATAGAAATATCAAACTATTACAACATAATATGTTGACATGATGGTATGGTTGATCATTCGTAAGACTTATTAAATGCACACACGTTCCACATACTCTAATATGCAGTGCTATCTGGTGCCCTTATTGACCGCTATTTTTTACGAAACGTGTATCTATGGTATATTTGATCGAAGATGCTAATGCTGTATAGATATATTGTGTTCACATATCACATGAAACATAGATTGTCAAGCTTTGATTGATAATATCACTGAATAAAGCGGTAAGAAACTTTACGATAAAAATATTCAATCTTCTACATATTTTATATTATGTTATAATTTTACACATTGGTGAAAAAAGAAGTTTCAAATTTGACTTCCTATAGTGCCGGTGAAAGCGCATAGCGCGTTCAATTACATTACTATCCAGTGACGACGACGCACTTAGCGCGTTCACAAAAGTGGCGACACTAAGGACATCATAAAAATTTGGACCGCAGTGAAAGTGTTAAGTATTATGGGAGCACAATATTATTATTGGATTGTGAGCTTATTTCGGGCAGTTATAAAATGTTGTTATCATTGTATATACGTAACGAGCTTCAAATTTCAAAAAGTGTGATTTTTTGCAGAGGCATGTGGTCTAGAATTTCGTTCTGATCGTCTATGGGAATCTTACATCAAATGGGAGGCCGAGAACGGTTCTGCTCTAAATGTTACAAATATTTATGACAGACTGTTGGCTACACCAACACTTGGATATACATCGCACTTTGACAAGTTTGTATCTTTAGTATTTAATTTGGAACTTGTTTTAATGTTTTTGACGTATCGATATGTTTTGTGAAATTAAATTAATAAACGATTAATAATACAGAACAGATTTCACTGTCGTCTATTTAAAACCTCATACCAATTCTATGTAATATAGTTAACCACTTAAATATTATTTTTAGTTTAAATTAGGATCATTTTACATACATATGTTATAATAATAAGTAATATTGCATTGATTAGTCTTTACTTACTAGGCTAGAAATTAGGTTGAATTTAAACCTGCGTTTATAAGAGTGAAAAATATCGAGTCACCGTGCATGCATATAACATCTCATTAAACATTATGTATTACATACCTCAAATTCAGTTATTCCTTTTTAACTTTAGGTAACCGTAAACGTTTACTTAAACGTTATTTTCAAATATAAATGTTACAAATCAACAATTTTTTTAACGTTTATATATATGTATATTTATTATAAAACAATAATTTTGTTACATGATTAAATCATGTAATAATGCGTCAGAATTTAGTCACATATGTGGCAGTGACACTTTTGTTCGTTTGTTAATATTACCAGCAGTTTTTAAACAGCTGGATAGGCAAACAAGCAAAGCATAGATTGAGGTATTTAGCATGTGGATGACGAGTACGTGGGCGCGTGTTGCAGTTTCCAAGAGCACGTGATGTCGGAGCCGGTGACGGGCGTGGTGTCGCGCGCCGAGCTGGTGCGCCTGCGCGGCGAGGTGCGCGACGCCGCGGGGCAGCAGCCGCAGCTCGACCTGCCGCCCGGGGAGGACGAGCCCGTCGACCACGTGGTCAGTATTCTTTAACGCTCATTTAGAAAGGCAGCTCCCGCACTTAACATATATCCTGTGCGTTTAGGAGACCGCTTAAACCACTACGCCATCCGATTTGCAGCAGCTAAAGTTACTTTTAGACGTGACCAGACAGACTGTATTTTATTGTTTTTTTTTTATGTTTATATAAATAAATAACTGATGTATCAACAAATTATACATTGTTCATTTATTTTAGACAAGTTGGTACCCGCGATTTAACCGGAACAAACAGACAGACAGTAAAAAAAAACTGGTTTTTAGGCATAGGTATCGTGCAAATAACTGTGCTATGAAAATACCTAAGTACCATGAAAAAACCTATTATTTTGACATTACAAACAGACACTTCAATTTTATTTATTTGTATAGATATACCTCAACTGTTTTTTGTATTAATATTTCTGTACTCTATACAACTTCTTCTGTCTTGACTGTACGGATTGCGTTTAAGCGGTCGCCACGCCCCTTACTACTACGCTAAGTGCTGTGGTTCCGATCCCCACACGGGACTACACTTTGTGTGATCCACAAATTGTTGTTCTGAGTCTGGGTGTTCTTTGTGTCCCTTTCATGTATGTTTGTAAAGTCCCCCGCGACACAGGATATACTTATACCTAATGCGGGAGTTTAATTTACACAATTAGAATAATTTAAACAAATAGTCTCTATAAAGAACATTGTAATTAGCATTTTATTTTTTTATTCAGCTGTATAGTTATGTCACTATCAGTCTGTGAACTTAGTAAATATTTGTATGTATATGATGGAGAAACGGTGTCTGGTTTGTGTTTAAAAAGAGTGACGTCAGAAAAAAAAACAACAGTAAATACAAGTAAAAATGAATTCCAAGTTCTAACCAACAGTTGTACATAGATAAGCACGGTCCGACGGTACTAAACAAGAACAAAAGTAAATACAATTAAAAAAAATATTCCAAGTTCTTACTGACTGTCGTACATACTACTCGACCAAGCGAACTAGACGACTGTCAAACGTGACGTCATTGACTTCGGGTACAGATAGCAGAAGAATGCAAATGTTCGATAGGTGTTATTTTTTCCTAAATAAAATACCCAAAGTATTAAGCGCGGGTATTAAGTATTACGCTTTGTTTATTATTAGTTCAACTAATGTTCCAAGTGACCGCTATCTTTATAAGCATTTGGTATAAAGAATTAAAATGTTACACGAGAAAATATTTTTATAAAAGTTAATTATTTGCGTTATCTAAAGATATTTAATTATTACTGGCCTGGGTGCTTCTATGTATTATAATAAAGTATATATCTATAAATCGAAGTATATTAGTATGTTTATCCGTTGTCTAGTAACCATAGTACAAGGTCAGCTTAGTTTGGGATTAGATGTGCGCAGTGTCAATCATCATTATCAGAGCGTAGTGTTGTATACAAAAATGTGAATGATATATAGTGACTAGCTGACCCGGCAAACGTTGTATTGCAAAACAATAATAAATTAGGGATGGGTCACCCTTACCATTTAGGGGTATGAAAAATAGATGTTGGCCGATTCTCAGACCTACCCGATGTGCACACAAAATTTCATGAGAATCGGTCAAGCCGTTTCGGAGGAGTACGGGAACGAACATTGTGACACGAGAATTTTATATATAAGATATATAAATACGTCATTGGACACTTTCTCACTGTCCACTATGTATTGTTTTATTTTTCCCCATTTTCCACACAACAAAATACTAACAGTTTTAATAAGTAACAAAAATTTAACGAATTAAAACAAACTTAACAACATACGAATGAAAGCTAAGAGAAAAAAAATCGTGCTAGCGGTAGCGACCTATTCCGAGTAATGAAAACTTTAACTATAATCAATTTTAATTAACTTAATTAACTAGAATCTAATTTTATTTAATCAAAATTGATTTATAAAGTAAGGTAGTTGTAGGTAATTCCTTAGGTAGGTAAAAAGGTAATTCCTTTAGTACACAAATACCACAAATAAATATATCTCAATAATTTCTAATTTTGCTAGTGACAATAATTATATAAAGTCTTTTGTTCCGATCTCGACAGGCGTCTGAAGAAGAAGCCCAGGCCATCAAGGAACGTATCATCGCAGCACGACGAAAGGTTCACAAAACTACAGGCGAACAGGTCGCGGCCCGGTGGACTTTTGAAGAAGGAGTAAGTGTTACTGAGATAACTCTCTTAGAAGAGGACTTATTATGTTACCTCCATTAGTGAAAAGAACTATATTTTAAAAAACTCTGCTGATTAGGTAAAGGTACAAATATTTTCAAGCATGTGTCATTTTGACAAATCGGTTCTGCACACCTCCCAACTGAACTTTACAAAACCTGTAAAATCGCAAATAATATTAGCACAACAATAGGTTGACAAATATTAGTAATAATTATATATACATTGTCTGTTTTACTCGTAAAATAAATACTAACATGAAAGTGATGTCACTCCTATTTGTTTAATCGGCTTTATAACTACAGTTTCATCTACTTGGGTTGCATTCAGTATGAGACATGTTTGTAAACCAAGAAAATATTAAACTTTACTTTTATTTTCAGTTAATTTAATGGACATAAAGTAAGCCTGTTTTAACCAGATTGCTTTAATCCTTAAAACAACTGCAAGAAAAATATAAAATATTCCTGTTTGACAGATTAAGCGTCCATACTTCCACGTGAAACCTTTGGAACGATGTCAGCTGAAGAACTGGAAGTCGTACCTGGAGTGGGAGAAACAGCACGGCACGCTAAAACGAGCTCTCGTTCTGCACGAGAGGTGTCTCATCGCGTGCGCGCTGTACGAAGAGTTCTGGATGAGGGTATGTGTAGCAGAATCTTTGACTGTCCATCAATCTACCAAAAGACATCTATCTATATTGTATGTGTATAAAGAGTCTACTCTGGAAATAAAAGTTAACTTCAGTCTTTCAACATATTATTATTGTAAAATCATTGAATAGCCTTGTTGCAAACATTATTAAAATTTCAAAACAGTTTAATTCTCCGTAACATGCTTAGGGTTATCCGTAACTATTGATATCGACCTCGCTAAGTCAGACTCGTGTCAATTAATGGTGTTTAATCAGACGTGGTGTACCGCGTCTGTATAAAAGCTTGGGATTCGCTATTAATAATTTGAATGACTGTATAGATAAGTTAATCCGAATTTAAGTATATAAGTACAAGTCAATATTATCTTATGTCTGCAGCTGATCAAGTTTCTGGAGGAGCGTATAGAGACTAACCCGGAGTTAGTGGCGGTTGAGCGTGAGGTATTGGAACGCGCTTGCACCGTTCACCATTTGGACAAACCCGAGTTGCACCTGCACTGGGCACACTTCGAAGAGGCGTACGGTAGCGCTGCTAAGGCAGCAGAAATATTAGACAGGATAGAGAAAACTTGCCCCAATCTAGTTCAAATACAGTACAGGTGAGAATATCAACACTGTCATCTAATTTTTACATTGTTATTTTATTTAAAATAACAATTCAGATGACAGTGTGTGAAATATAAAAGACACAAACTATACAGCTCTGATAACTAACATTCCAGTCGCCTCTAGATAAGTCTATAGTCATCAGATAACTTTATTGATTAAAGTATTAATTTATTTAAGTATTAATGCATTAAATTTTGCCAACCCTACTTAGCTGCAGAACCACGACGCTAACAACATTAGTAGCACGGTGGTCACCATGTAACTACGACTAGTGCTGAAATCGAATTACCAAAGAGCCTTTATTAAAACAATACTATCATTAAATTTATAAGTATTATATATATATATTATATTTTTATTCCTTTTTTATGTGTACTCATGCCAAAATCTGGGTTCGTTTCTTAAATATAAATTAATATCTGTTGTATCAGACGTGTCAATCTTGAGAGGCGTCGTGGCGACTACGAAAAATGTGCTCAGTTATACGAGGGTTACATAAATTCGGCTAAGAACAAGGCGGTGGCTTCTGCGTTAGCCATCAAATACGCTCGTTTTGTTTTCCACGTGCGACAAGACCCCGTCGGCGCAAGAAAAATACTCGACGACGCGATCACCAAGGATCCTCTTAACCACAGACTACACATGCAGAGACTGGACCTGGCGATACATACACCTGATACACCCTATGAAGTGCTGGAGGGTAAGAGATAAATATACATTTTATTGAAAAGTTCTAGTATTTTACAGAAACAAGCAAATATTATGTTGTCTGACCGAACTAAATCATATTGAAATTGAAAAAAAAAACTTAGTGTAGATAGACTATTGTCGGACTTTTTAGGGCTCCAACAACCGGGAACGATGGCTTAACGTGCTCTCCGAGCCTCACTTATAAAAGTGAGTGAGTGATAAATTCAATAAGTACAAAATGTGAGAGTGAGATTAGGCAGGTAGGTACATAGAGATTCCTACGCTTCTATTCTGGCTCCAACACGAAACCATCGCAATATTTATTTACTGAAGTTATAAAATGTATTCTTTATTTTGCTTACATTACATACATTCAAATAAAAGATCCGACATAACCTGGACCCCAAATGTTACGGCAAATAGTTCCTAACCGTTCCGCTAGAAGTATATAAGTACATTTGAACGTCGTAAATACATTCTGCTTTCGGTTAATATAACGTACGTAACGTATCGTCAAGACACGAGCACAACACTGCAGGGCCTACAGTATTAGCTATGGTTGGATCGGTAATTGTAAATGCGGTAACGTTGTGTGGTGCAGAGCTGGTGTCGTCGTACGAGAAACAGGAGTGCGCGGAGCTGGAGACGATGGCGGCGCTGGCGTGGCGGCGGCGCGAGCTGGCCGAGGAGCGCGGCGACGCGCAGCACGCCCGCGCCGCGCACGAGCACGCGCGCGCGCTCACCAAGCACCTGCGCAAGCGCCAGCGCAAGGACAAGCACGACGTGCCGCCGCCCACGCAGTACGTTCGGGCTTCCCTCTCGCATCACTTACAGTACAATGGAGCCACTAACAGATTTACATGACCGAGTTTCTCTCGACCGATTATTGTTGGACGCATCAGAGATCGCTTCAGCTTCGTTACGAGGGGGGAATGAATGGCGGTAGCTTCTCACGCACGAAGAACAAAAAAAACATATTCAATCATTCTTAAAACTTGTTAAATTTTAGCTAACCCAATATTTCGAATAAAAAAAACAATCACTAGACTATAACACGTTATTTCCTCCCAGAGGAAAATTTCTAAGCAGCAAAAATTTATAGCAGCAAATCGAGGGAAACCTCGTCAGCGGGAACATCTATCGCCTATTTAAATGGTTGTATTTACTCTCGCCTAACTCCTGCGTTGTTATAACTACCAAAGTATCAGCTGACGGTCTTTTCACCGAGACACAGCCAGTTGACATATATTTATTCATAGTTGCATTAAGCTATCATCAGGTAAATTTTTAGTTTTGAGTGTTGAGCAAATGGTTGAGTTTTTATTTTTTATTTTTAGTATTTATTAGTTATTAGTATATAGTCATACTGTTTTTAGTTAGGAGGAAATGATTGAAAATTTTGTTCATCGTGCGTGGGAGGCTACCTACCGCTGCTCAAATCCCCACGGAATAGCAGCTGACGTTCACGAGGCATTTTGCTGCTATTCCTTGATGCGTCTTACCAATTATCGTTTGAGAAGAAATAATTGACCAAATTTTTACTTGAGCTTTTATTAGCATATTTAAAAAAAAAACACTAGAAAAATAAAAATTTGTAACAAAGAATAATAGCAAAAACTCAAAAATATATACCTAGTTTTATTCATTTTATATCTTTCGCTTAATAAATATTAATCTTTTTGGTGTATATTTAAAAAAAAAATCTATTAAATTATAATTTTTTGACGTCACCATCTCTAGCTTTTCTTAAAAAAAAATTGAACCTTGTGATTGTGATTTTCTGTCATCTAAGCAATACCTAATAATCGAATCGTAATTGTTTCTTATATAGCATTTCATGATAATAATTACAGTAACACTGATGCATAATAAAAAGCAAACTTTAATCATCATCATCATCATCAACAGCCTTTAATAGTCCACTGCTGGACATAAGCCTAACTAATAAACTTTAATAACCAGTTGCTTTGTGAGTCGTCCAGTTTGTACGACAGAGATTCGTTACTCTTGTGTGAGTCGTTTCTATCCGGATTCTACTGTACCTTGTACTTTATATCTCCCAAACAAGAGGTTAATAACAATTCACCATTTTCTTTCTTCAGAATATCAGCAGACAATAAGAAAAAGGAATGTGGTGCATCTGCAGCAGTCAATGTCACAACTACCAGCGGTGGGAACTCATATTATCAAACACCCGCAGCCACGACGGCCTCCTATGATCAATCATATACCCAACCTTACCAACCCACTTGGGGCTACCAGCAGCCACCGGGGCCCTATCAACATCACCCGCACCCATGGCCTCAATATCCCAATTACTACTAGCAATCGATACCAGAACTACCCACCCGTTCGGAAACATCCGTGGACCTAACAAAGCTTCCGTTGGGCCACTCAACAGTCACTCCTGGAAACCGAAACATAAGAGACTACGTCCGCGGTTTTTACACTGTCCTATAGAGGTAGCTTAAGGGTAATCAATAATTTTGTAATTAAATTTTGAATACTGGCTGTTCGTTCATTTTGCATGTCAGTTTTGATAAGGCTGCCCCGTGATTACGGTATTTGCAAATAGATACCTTATGTTGATGTTCGCATTCTAAAATGCGGGTATCTGCCATCTCTTTGCATTCAATTATGAGGGTTCATAATGATGCAATTGTTACAGTTTACGATGAAATGTTTATTGACGTAAACATGTGAGACATTACATATATTTTAAGGAATAAATAATATTATCTTCATATACCACCATGTTTTATTTCGATCCCTCAGTCTTGGATATACTTTTCACTTTCTAATATTAATATTTACTGATAAAATCTGACTCAGTATAACTACAACACAAATCAATAAGAATTCCTAGGTCATTGATGATTTACACATTGTCATAACAGCATTCTCATTGAAATCAATTATCAAGGTAACAACATCATTTAATTACTTACAAAGAGAATATTATTTGAATAAAACTTAGGTTCACTATGAGGTTCAAATACAATATAGTACAAATAATATAAAAGAATTATCAAAATAATTTGATTTCACTATTTACAAACAAAACAATGTGATAATGGTACAAAAGGGAGGTGACGTAAATGCCATCTGGAGATCATCACTACCCACCCCCGGCCTAATATTTATAGACATCGAATTTGTACAACTATAGAATTGCAAAGTAAATAGCTCCAGTCACACTGCATACTGTACACACTATGAATGTTTGTTTATTCTAAAACGAACAAACTCCGCTAACTGTTACTGCCTTCCCACAGCCTTTGGGCTTTCTTCATCATGAGCACGCAGCTTTCGCAGCCTTCACAGCTGTGGGTCAAGATTTATTGTATATAGTTAAGATCATGGTTCATTTTTGTTTTTTTTTCTACTGAGATAATATCTAAAAACCTCGCGTGTTCTATATTCTATAAATATATAGTTTACAGTTGTATAAATAACATGTAAGGGAATAGAGGGAAATTGATACAAACGTAATATTATTTATGTTGGAAAAATTATCATCACATGTGCCATGGTGTGTAATTTATCTAAGCCGTGAGTTTGTTTGCCCTTTCTTCTTATATGGAGTTTCCTTGGAAACGGATGGTTGTAGATCGGCACAGACATATAATAGATTTTCGATACGTTTATATTTATTTCGCTAAATATTGACAAAACTGATTGCTGCTATGTGCGTGTTGATCTATGACTTATAGTCTACATAAGAGACGATTTCAATCATTTTTTTTAAATAAAGATATTTTGAGTTTAATAAAAATGGATGAATGTTGATACTGAAGAATTTTGTGCTTGTTTAAACGTGTTAATTTCTGGATGTAGCAGTCGGATTCGAAAAAAATCGTTATAGTCCCATTGAGTATTCATTAAGGAAAAGTATAGGTTATGTAACATCAAAATAAGAAACTAAGAAGCGGAATATGAACGTATAGCAGTTATGAATATCTTAGTCTACCTTCTCTCTCCTTTCGTCGCAGTTTCTTCCGTCGTCGATCGATGGCTGCCAGTTCTGCCTTTACCGAATGGTAAGCTTTTCGTAGGTCCGCCAGACGCGAAGTCAACACGTTAATACGTGTTTGACAATCCCACGTCGGATCTGCTTGAAAGTAAAGTGCGTATATAACTGTGTGTTAGATGTAAGTATAGTTTATGTCATGGCGGTAGAAAATGTTGGCGTGGAAATTAATTTTTACAGGTCAAGGTTTAATTGAAGGCAGGTGGTTACCGTTCGGCTCAGGTAGACGACCTATCATTCGATATGACTTAGTTTTTATATGATAGTAGCGTGATTTAGCGCTGCGTTAGTATTTACGCAATTTCTTTGCTTGTGTATGTTCAATCGCATTCATGCTATACAGCTCTCCATTATGACCGTGACTACTGGTGATAGTAATCTGGGAATTTGGATATCTATTATTATTTCATCTATTGACTATGTTGTCAGTGCGCTGCTGGTTCTGGATTCATTGCTGTAGCCAGATCCTTGGGCACGTAGAAAGGTCGATTGGAGCTTGTGTGCTAAGAGGTAGGTCGGGGTGTCAGCTTCGACATGTAGGCTCGAAATTTACTGACAAATCTGTCATTTTCGCCGTAACTTAAAGACCAGCATTTAGGAACTGTCGTAAACGAGTTCCGGTGCGGATGTCTGGAGGTCATCACCACGAGAGTACTTCTGACCAGCTTAATGTAACGTAGCACGTCAAGGCAGCCCTTAGTTGATTGCGAATTATTTCCACGAGACCATTTGGACCATGAGGTGGTGAGTGGCTCCTATGAATCAGGCCAGGGCCTCAATTCTGCTATTTTATGTTTACGACAAGCCAGTGTAATATATTTTCAAATTATAAGGAAATGACAGTAATTTAATATTTTTTTTATTTTAATAAATATTATTTATCTTTTTTTAATAATTTTATTTTTTATTTCTTTTTTTATAATTTTTATATTTTATTCTTTAATAATTTATTATAATTTATTTATTTATTTTATGTAATAATTTATTAAAAACAAATAAATTATTTCCTCAAAAATGTAATATACTTTCAACTACCGATATTTATACCGATGCCAATGGCCACTCGATGGCATCTCAATAGCGTGTCAGTGGTATGACACTGGCTTGGCGTATAACAGAATTGAGGCCCAGATCTCTGAAGGTGTATACGAGGTAAATTGTAGACCACGGTAGATAGTTATGTGCTCTGGGCAGCTGTAGGGCGTGATCCACCCTGCGGTTAGGGTAGAAACACAGGTCTGTACGCTGATGTACTGCTGTGAGTATGCATCAGACAATGGGTCAATTGGCGTGACAGGACTGGCGTGATTGTTAATGCCAACATAAAGTTTATAAAATGATAATTATGCCTGGTACTGACCACCCTTCACATCCATGTAAGAGACATGAATGTGAAGGGTGGTCAGTACCAGAGCCACACAAGCAGGAGCTCCATAATTACGGTGCTAAGTCAGCGAAAAAATATAGTGAAAGTTACCTAAATCGACGTAAAAGTTGTATTTGAGCGGCGGTTGGTGCGAGTGGTGATGCAAGTTTTGCGCTTCGTCCGTGTCGCGCCGCGAGCGTCGCGTGCGTCCGCGCCCCGCACCTGCACATGAACTCTCAGAAGCTTTGCGTGACCGACTACCGCCTGTGTAATAATATAGTAAATATTAGTTAATGTTTTTTGGCCTCAAAGTCGTTGACAGAGCCGATTTGTAGTCAGACACGAGTTCAACGTCATAGAAAGTTACAGACCGTGAGGTTTATCGACGTCATGGGCCGTCGCGTCGTTCGCTTGACCTTCGTCTTCGTCTTCTTTTCGTTCCGACGGACTGTCTCTTTCCGATATCCGCCGCTCCCTGCGGTATGTAATTATATGATCGTTATCATGAAAAGGAATATTACGTTCTAACATAAATATGGAACTTACGGTTAAGGATGCCAGTTTAAATAATGAGCATGAAAAACACATCGCCGGCAACTTAATTTTAAGTGTGGCGTCGTTCACTGTTTCAAATCACTGCCCTTTTTTTTTTTTCCGTGCGGAAATCCCCTCGGATACCACCTGTCGGTGGCATGTCGGACTCGAATCGACTAAAACCGCACGCCGTCTCGGGTACTAATAGCCGGGAAACCAGGTATTCTCTAGAAAGGAAGTCCCTGGTGCCCCGACATTCAAATCACTCCCCTGATTTGAAACAATGATGATCTGCCGCGAGTAGTGGTGTCGCTGACCTGTGCGGAGACATGTCGAGGCTACTGTCGGGCGTGGTGGGGGGCGTGTTGTCCATAAGCGGGCGCGGGCGGCCCCAGGCTGCCTCTCGCGCAGGCGCAGCGCTGGGCCCGCCGCCCGGAGCCTCGCCCGCGCTCGCTCCCGCTCCGGCACTCGCGGCGCCGCTCGCCCGGGACCCGCCTTCACCGCGGCGATCCTCTGAAACGTTTCCTCGTTACTAACAGTCTATTACGAACCTTTTAAACTTATTTTTTACTTTTTGTTTACCTACAAGCTTTAAGACAGTAACTTTTGTTTCTTTTCTTTCTTTCTAAATTTTTAGCTTTCACTGTCTCTTCCTATTTTTTTAAATCAAAGTATACCTTTCGAGTGCGTATGATGATGCGGCGGTGCCGATGCGAATGGCATGTGTAGCCGTTGACGGGGCGGCGCCGGCTCCGCGTCGGGAGCGGGCGAGCCGGGGATGGTTTCCTCGCACAGCAGCAGTGAGATGTTGCTGTCGTCCTCTCCGGGGCCCGACACGCCCGACACGCACGCGGCCGCCGCGGCTACGGTGGCGACACGCCCGCTACCCGCCACTACGACGCTCGCGCCTGTTAGACGAATCGCATAGGTGAGGTAAAAGTAGGATAGTTGTGCTATGAGTATATATATATTCTAAAGCCAGTATTGAAAATCTTAAAAGTTACACGATCACAGTTAACTTATAATCAAGAGTCATCCCTACTGAACATCTGATATGTATGCCTACTGAAAAGGATTGACGTCCCGTTTCTTGTGAGTATTGATTAAGAAGCATATAACGTATAGCAAGAAGATGGATCTAATACACCAATTTTCAACCAAAATTAATGAAATAAATTGGGTAAACAAATTGATTCTTTACAAAATTATCAACAACTAGCTGACCCGCGCAACTTCGTCTGCGTCTCTCAATAGTAATAAATTTTCTCCGTTTTTGAAACATTCTTCATTGGTGCTCCGCTCCTATTGGTCTTAGCGTGATGATATATAGCCTATAGCCTTCCTCGATAAATGGGCTATCTAACACTGAAAGAATTTTTCAAATCGGACCAGTAGTTCCTGAGATTAGCGCGTTCAAACAAACAAACAAACAAACAAACTCTTCAGCTTTATAATATTAGTATAGATTAAGAATATTAAGGCTGGTTAGATTTTGAAAACCATAACGTTAATAACAAGCCAATTCTAAAATGTGGAGCATCTCATTTTTACTCTACGTCCACTCCCTCATTCGTAGAAATAGTAAATTAAACAACAAATATTGATTAAAAAGTAGTTAAAAAGGAAACAAAAGATATTACTTACACTGACAGATTGGTAAGTAATATGCTACAGCATATTAAGTTCACACACAATTCAAACTGGCTTTTGTCGGAAATTGCGAAGCTTCCAATAAAATAATTGTATTTCGTGCAATTGTTCTACCGTACTCCATTCGATTTAAATAATAAACACCTTACGACCTTATTCATACAATCTCGTTAATCAACATCTTAAAATTTAATAAAATTCTTTAACTAATCAACTAATTAAGCCTTATACAATGTTTCAATTTTTCTTATTCATAAACGATATTTTAAAAAAGGTCACGTTTAACTAAGCAATGTCAAACATTGCTTAGTTAAACGTGACTTATCTTGAACGCCTGATGCATTGTACAATATTGCTTAGTTAAACGTGACTTTATGTTTTACCAATGTTTTGGTAGAATTAGTAGAAACTTGGTGTATGTTTTTCAACATGTTTTTCTTGGCCACTTGTATTTTTTTTAGGTTCAACATCATCATAGTCCAGCATAGGGTCCAATTTGGGCTAACGAATCCCGCTCAAAATTTTACAAATCTTCGTCGAAAGAAAAATAATCCGCGACGTTAAAATCTCTCTTAGGTCAATGACAATGCAATTTGGTGGAATAAGAAGAAATTAAATGGCGATCTGTAAAAAAACTGCTGTTGATTGCTAGGGGTTTAGTCCGCCATTTCGTTGTTTAACTTTTATACCAGGGTGCGAGGATGTTTAATTTGACAGCAGAGTTATGCAAAAAAATCAGCAATACAGCCTATGGACTGCTTAAGCTTGCACCTCTTCTCAATGATGAAGGTATACTTAAAGCATATCACGGAATGACCGCTTCCTATCTTAGATATAGCATTCTATTCTGGGGAATCTCGACAAATAAAGATATTGTTTTTAAATCTCAAAAGCAATACATTAGAGCAATGTTCAATTTAAAATATACAGATAGTTGCGTACCATATTTTAAAAAGTATAAAATTATGACATTACCATCTTTATACATCTTTGAAACAGCAGTTTTTGTAAAGTCGAACCCGGAACTATTCGAAACGTTGGCTGATACGGTGATTCGCAATAGAAGAACACACACCGGTAATAGGATCCGAATGCGAAAAGCAAATACAACATTAAGGCACAGAAGTATATTGTGTATGGCACCGGTCATCTATAATGAGATACCTGATCACATTAGAAATCTAGACATAGCCCTGTTTAAAAAACATGTACAGGAATGCCTAATTGAAGGATGTTACTATGATGTAAGAGAATTTTTAGATGGTAAATGGGAAACGAAATAGGAATAATGAAGTAATTAACTGACATGAATCAATTTACATATTTCTGACATAATTTTAACGATATTTCTATTAGCGAATTCTATTTTTATTTTTTGTCTTTATTTTTTATTTGACATTGTAATTGGTCCATTGTCATCTTAGTTCTAAAAATTTATACATAATTTATAGGATTAAGACATTGATTTTCCATGTTTTATATTCCAAGGTATGAAAAATCAAAGTGACTTTTTATTGCTTTAATTTCGATAATTCAATTTATATTGTGTTGTTCTATTTGCATGTCTTAAATTTAGTCACTAAATAAAATTTTAAGTTATTGTTAGTCTAAATGGCAGAACATAGATGATCATTCCACTACTGTAAACATCCTATGTATACCTATGTTTCACAATAAACGACGCTAAGTGTAGGGCTAGTGCAATTTTTAAGATACGTACTGTGTTTCCTCTCGTTCTTACAAGCGTCTTCGAGCATGAGCAGAGACTCGGCCCCGCTCCACTCGCCCAGAGATTTGCCCGCGTGCAGAGCCCGCGTGGCTGCGCTAGCCACGACGGCCGCAGTGGGCACCGCTTCAGAACTGCCACCGGAGCCCCATTCTTCAACTGATAGCTTATCTATTATTAACCTGAAATAATAATTTTAGTTTCAATGTAAAACAATTTTTTTATTATGTTGCATATTACACGTTTAGGATAACCACATTTCAAACTACTGGTTGGTTTACTGTCTATAACAGTTTACTTAGTACCTTGCATATACAGGGTGTAAGGGACGTCGTAACGAATACTGAAAAAGTGTATTCAGACCATGATTTTGAGTCGAATTTCATTGGAATTTTCTGCCTGAAAGTTCATCCCTCCAGCCGCCAATTTGTGTTAGTGTGCGTAGATTGTTTGCACGGAGTACACATGTAGTTATTACTTTTGTGCGATACCTACTGGGAATGACTTAACCTTCAACAGCTGATTGCATAAAACGTTTAATTTTCCGTTAGAAAATTCCAATGATTTTCGACTCAGAATTATGGTCTGACACTATTTTAGTATTCGTTAAGACGTCCCTTACAACCTGTATAATATGTACAAGTATTAAATATATTTGATTGTCTGCCGTGATTTTTTTGTATACTTTTTATATCCTTATCCTTTTTGATGTAACTAAAAGTTAACAGCCCTTAAATCAGGTGCTTTTCAAGTATATTAGTTAGCAGTTAGTTGGTTTAGTATTAGTTATATTTAATAGGCAGCAGTGAAAGTGTTAATACAATATTTATAAAGATATGGCAGATTATCATTGCTGTTAGGTATAGTTTCTACCGTCAGTCCAAAGGTAAAAAGAAGATGGGAAAGTGTTTTGAGTACTCCAACTTGAGCTTGCCACCCAACTTTTCTCCTACTGACACAATGACACATGTACAATACATTTTTAATTTATATAATAATCCTTATCTTTATAATAATCTTTATTTGGCACTGGTAACAAAATCATTTATATTATTATTACTGTATCTATTTATTATGCACTGTACTATTGAGTACTCGCTCAGTTAACGTTTATTCAAAGGTTGGCTAGATCACTAGCCAACCTTTGAATAATCCGAGCCCTTCAATACAGGTATGCACCTAATCTTTTTGACCCAAGTGTTCATATAGTTGTCCGTGTAGTAACGGATTAAGAGTACAGAGTTTCACCACCCCTATTCATCCCGTGGGTGTCGTAAGAACCGACTAAGGGAGCAAACTACTAACAGCACTGCAAAGAGTAGGAAAACTTGAAACAAACCCTACCAACCCGTCTGGTATAGTAGGCCAAAACCTTCGTTCTAAGGCGAAGCCTATATCCAGCAGTAGACTACGAAAGGCTGTTGATATGATGATGATAATGATGTTCTTATAGTATTTTGTAGTAAGTTATTTACCTCCTGTCAGAATCATCGGAGTCGCTGGATTCGCTTCTGTCTTCCGTAGGAAAAGGTGGCAGCGGAATACTGGCTGCAGCCGCCGCTGCCGACTGATTTATTTGACTTGAAAGCTTCTGTATTGTGTCACTAAGCACTTTGTTATTTTTGCCTGGTACACTCAGTGGGTGGTCTGCCACACTCTTCCTTCGTTCCAAAATGTTTAAGGGGCTTTGCAACCTCGGTGCTACTGGATCATCAGACTTAGGCTTTTTAATATCCAATGTATCGCGTTTCAAATCCACAAAGTTATGTGGTTCACCAAATATAGACTCTGTGGTATTTTCTACAGACTTTTTAATCGGCTCTATCTTAACGAATGGTTTTCCTAGATCCGGTTTCACTTGGCTTGGCTTGGGTTCAGGGGATATGGCGATTAATTTGATGTCCGATCTACTCGACTTAATTGAGTCCGATTTAGGAGTGTCTGGTCGATCTTGCGATGGTGGAGGAGACATAGATAATCTCTTAGCACTACTAATGGCTTTAAGAAGCTTTTCTGCTATCTTAGGACCTTCTGATTGCAGTAAAAACCCAGGTGGAGGTTCTGGAAGGACATCGATTCTAGCTGGACTATCCGGTTCTGACTTATCCTCTTCAGTGTCAATAAGAGGACTAGAAGGCGCTTGTGAAGCGGGGTTCTAATACCGGTGCATTCTCAAGTTTCTTGTCAAGTTTAATTATGAGTGATTTTTCTTTGGGCTCTAAAACAGGTGGGATAACTAAAAGCTTATCTGGCTCGTCTTTTTTAATTTCTTTCTTAGGCTCTTCTGCAGGTAGCTCTAAAACTTGTGGTTTAGATTGCTCTACAGGTTTTGATTTCGGCATGTCTAAAATTTTAGTTTTTGGAAGTTCTAGAACTTTTGTTAAAGCAAGTTGCAGTGTTTTTGTCTTAGGGATATCTAGTTTTGTTTTGGGGAGTTCAGGAGTTTTAGTTTTAGGGAGTTCAATGGGTTTAGTTTTAGGCTCTTCTTTCTTTTTCAATTCGATTATTGGCGGGGAAGATGGGTTGGGAGTTGGAGTGGGAATGCGAGTAGGACTTAAAACAGTTGTAGCAGCAGTGTTAGTCCCAGGTGTAGTAGTAGTATTATTTATTGAAATGCTTGTCACTATACTTATTTTAGGAAGTTGAACTTCGGATTGTTTTTGTAGCGGAGGCGTCTTTGGCGGTTCAGGAGTCTTTTCCCTAGATATTGCCTTTGTTTTAACTATTTTTTCTTCTGTGGGTGGTAATTCTGGTTCCGAATCCATTGGTTCCTCCTTCAAGACAGGTTCTGGTGTTTTCGGTTCTTCGATTACCGATAACAATGGGATAGGATCCCTGTTTATTTCTTGTTTTATGGTTATATCTTCAGGATCATCATCTGACGATTGTTCGTCATCTGCCGGGGAGTCTGGAGAATCATCAATAAGTTCTCTCAATTTAGAGACTTTACTCTTTTTGGAATAGGTTTCTTGGTTTTTAGCTGGAGTAAATCCTTCGAAAGTTGGTCCAGAACTACCATCGCCCGGGAATGAATCATCATCTAAAGAAAAGAGTCCATCTTTGGAATCGTCTTCTGGGCTATGACGGCCTACTTCTCTGGAGCTGCCGAAATCCCGGAAAGGCGATAACGAAGGCGACCTTAACGGAGGTCGTACTCGCATCGGATCTTCTGATATTTCTTCACTCAAGGATTTAGATAGCGTCGATGTGTATTTACTGGGGGAGATGTCATCAAAGATGCGATGAGTACGCTTTTTCTTTTCATCATGCAATTCTAGTTCGAATGGTTCTGGTTCTTTGAACTCATAAACATCCTCTGGTTGTTTCTCTGACTGACGTGGTTCAGGCGGGGCTGGGTTTGACTGGGAAGCTGTAGGTGACGATGCCTCTACCCCTTCAGTTTTAACTGTTTCATCGGTTTCCTGTTTTACCGTCTGTAATCCTTTTAATTCAGACCTAATTTCGTTAAGATCGAAATCACGTCCAGTGACGTTTGGACGGGGTTTTTTAGGTGGAGAAGCTGCAGTAGGAGTCGATATGGTTCTCACAGGCCTCTTGCGTGGTTTACTGGAGCTGCTGCTGTCGCTTGACTTAAGGTCTTTAGATCTTGATGGAGCTGAAAACACATTTTTGTATTAATTATAAATGTAACATTTTGACAGCTACTTAACAGAATAAGATAAACAGAATGTACTTACTTTTTGAGTTGGGCTTTTCGTCTGACTTTTTAGAAGGTCTCTTGACATCTTCATCACTTTCAGAGTCGCTATCTGAATCCGATCGTGCTGACGATTCTGCAATACAATTGCGTAAACATTAGTGCTCATACATTTAATATCATTTCGTACTTTTCTTTTGGCAATCCAAATAAATACCTTCAGTTCTCTTTGTTCTTGCACGTCTATTCATACCGGTGTTCTGAAAAAGGAAAAAAATACAATAACATTTTTGTAGAATATAAACTGTAAGTTCTTAATGTATATGTTAAAAAGGGAACTTTAACACCGGTTACTCTTCATCTCAATCTATTTTCGGATTAAAATGTTTGATACCGAGTCTTGAAACTGCTGCTCTGCATAACGGTATGAATTTATAACATTTATGACTTTCGACATCTCCCACACGGTCGTCTGATCGTAAACTAGTAAACTCTGGAAGTAAGTACAACTTAATTTCTCACATATTTACAGGATGAACATATAGATACTTAACGAAAGAAAATAAAGGGTTGTCAATTCAATATGTATTTATTTTTGAAAAAAATGCTAAGAAATTGGAATTTCTAGGAAACAAGACAACTTTGAAACAAATCATAGTTGAGTCACTAGTATATAAATTTAAGAAGTGTAGTGTGTGTAGAGAAAAATAAATAGATTAGAGATTGAAAAAGTAAAATAATCATTAATCACTCAAGTTGGACGTAAAAATGGAACGAGACGTTACTAATGTTTGAGGTAAAATAAAAGACTATCGAAGATTATCGTGAAGATATAAATGGCGCAAGTTTCTATAAATGGATTATGAATTAAATAATGAAATGTTTGTTTAAATTAAAAAAAATATTTTGTTCATTCTACTTAATTGGTCCTAATAACAACACATATAACATTACCATATCTGGCCAAATAATTCCCATTCATAACCTTACAATTTGTCTTTTTTTATATAGGTGAGTGTACCTTCTTATTCCGCTGCTCATGTTGTGTGACGTTGAGCGCAATTCTCTGCGGTTTGATCCACTCATCGTAGCGAGTGTTCCACCCCGTGTAGTGTACTCGCAGCATGCCTTCTGATGACACCTCTATAACCTTAGCTTCGTATGTCACCTAATAACGTAACAGATTCGACAATTTACTATTGCACCATTAAACTTATAGTGATAATAACCTCACACATCTCACACACGGCCCTCTGATGGCAAGCTAGGCAGAGCCTGTGCTATAGTAACGAGACTGCTTATAAACATACATGTGTATTATTAAATACACATATATAATAAATTAATAACACCCAGACACACGTCCCGGGTGAAAGGGTCAATATAAAACCGAACCCTATGCATGATCGGATGTTCCTGAGCATGATCTGTTCAATAGTCCATTTATATTTATTATTCACAAAGGAGTTCCCGGCAGTTTCGCCTGCATTTTTAATCACAGTTCTGTTCTTCGTCTGTTTTGTTTAATACACAATATATGAGAAAATTAATTTCCTTTATTTTTTATGAAGTTTTAAAATATTTTACTTGTTATTCTGATATTCGGGACGGACACAAATTCAACAAGTCAAAGATCATAAAAATCGCCCCAGAGATTCTTGAGTTATAAAGTCAACTTTGTTTTGCATATTAAGATTTAAATACCTTAAAATTCAGTAAATGCCAAACATAAATTTACCTTCGACTCCGACTGTGTGGGACCATAATACACCTTTAATTTGTCACCAACTTGAGCTTTCACGTTAGAGACGCCTGATCTTGTGGGTTCATTTGTTGAAGGCCTACAAAAGTAGAAATTTTTCATTGTCATGAAAAAAGAAAGAAAAACTATTTAGGTTTTCAAACCGATTAAAAAGAATTAGCAAAGGTACACACCACATGCATAACTTTTTAGTTAGTTTAAATGCAGACGGGTGAGAAGTAGGGTTGCCAGATAGAAACTTATCAAATCCGGACAATTTTAGGACAACGGTGTCAGGTCGTGGCCATAGTAAAAAGTATCTTGTTTTTTTTTATTTTCAAAGGATTTATATTTGTATTTGAAAAGGAAAATGCCATTTATTCTCAAATAAATACTTTTATTACATAGGTATCTACGCACTTAGTAAGCACTCCCCTCCCGCGCTGCCCGCACTCACAGGCAGGCCAGCCGTGTCATTCGTTGTTAGTTTATTTTGTTACAAAACTAGTATGTTTTCAGAATTCGGGACAATAAGGACTGCACGGATGGCGTAGTGTTTAAGTGGTCGCCACGCCGCTTCCTACTACACTGAGTGTTCTGGGTTCAAACCCCACTTGGGACGACACTTTGTGTGATCCACAAATTGTTGTTCTGAGTCTGGATGTTCTTTGTGTCCATTACATGAAAGTTTGTAAACATATATTCCTAAGGCGGGAGTTGTCTTTAAAAAAAAAAATATTACTGGACACGGGACAAGACGCAAAATTCCGGGACAATCCCGGATTTCCCGGCCATCTGGCAAGCCTCGTGAGAAGCGATATATCGGATAGTTAAAAGTGTATCTATATCCGCGGTATACGTGTACATCCGCGGATACAGATACTTATTAAAGCCTAGTTCCGAGAATACAGAAACGGAGCTCAAGTTTTTCTCGACGAATTCAGATAGGAGTGACCTTGAAGCGACAATTACGTTGAACACTAATGTACGTAATATCACGATTTATTTTGTAAGTATCGTAAAAACCGTAAGTTTTTTTTTTAATTACTTTGATACACTAGTTACAAAGATAATATCACCTTACGACTAGTATTACCATTAGTTACTCACTACACTAATATAGCGAGTTAGAGGGAGTAATTAATACCAATAAAAATAATATTTCCCATCGCACACGTTGATTTGAATATTTTTTCTAAGACTAAAAAAAAAACTTACTCAGTACTCTTTCTCTTACGAGGTCGCTTGCTGCTATTAGAAGCGATAGTATTTCCGCTGCTTGCAGAATTAGCGCTCTGACTTCGACGACTCTGCATCTTTTTTATTGGTCCACATCTGACAATCATCCATTTACACTTTTTACATTCAGATCGTAAATAAAACATTAATACTGCTGAAAGGATAAGATTCAAGTATTCTCTGTTCCTAATATACATGTATAAGTAGCAGTCTTATAATCAAATACCTACCCATAATACAAACCGGTTAATGCTCAATGAGTAAAAAAAAGTAACTAAAATATATTGTATAGTAAGTAAAAAAATATTTATTGATTTGATGTTACTGATTTGTTTATCATTTTTTAACATTATATTAAACCTCAAACAATGTAAAAAGATAGGTTACCTGGAAGCTCGCCCCGAACTATCGCTATCAGTTGAAACGTGCGGACGACGAGACGCTCGTGAGGTGCTGGTACTTGCACCGTCACCTGCTAAACAAGATACTACAAATATATATACATGTTATATCCCACTATATTTACAGCTAAACTGAAAGTAGTCATTCATTGAGCTATCATGTGGTTATATTAACACCCACATCATGGCCAGCGCTACACCCTAATAACCAGTTCTAGTTACCTTTCGAAGACAAAGATCGTCTCTTAGGAGTTCTTTTATCGTGGTCTATCTTGACTGGAGTTATTGTTCGTCCTTTGGACTGTGAGCGCGGCTTAACTACTGCCTTTTCTTCACTAGTGCTGCTTGATGTAGAGCTCTTATCCCTCTCTTTGTCCTTTTCTTTTTTCGCTTCCTTCTCCTTTTCTTTGTCTTTTTCCTTTTCTTTTTCTTTCTCCTTTTCTTTATCTTTTTCTTTCTCCTTTTCTTTGTCTTTTTCTTTCTCCTCTTTTTTATCTTTGTCTTTTTCTTTGTCCTTTTCATTATCTTTTTCCACTCTGTTTGAATAATAAAAAAATAATAATTATGTAACCTATATGTTACTCATCTTACTTACTATATTGTTAGTATTTAGTGGGTATGCTATTGACTGACTATCGTATAGGAAACATGGACAAAATATTTTTTAAATTATTGAAATGATTTCATGGATCTTGGTATCTATTTCTGTTATACTCTGTCCATTTTTATATTTCTTATTGACAGTACGACAAGTAATCAATTAGTGATGTCCTATCAAGTGTGTGTTGTCAGAGATGACTTATGGCATAGAGATGTGGTTGCTCACAACGAGCTTCATAAGAAGGCTCAAAATCACCCAAGGAGCAACGGACAGGGCGATGCTTGGAGTTTCTCTGCGTAATCGAATCAGGAGTGAGGTGACCCGCTGCCGAACCAAGGTGACTGACATTGCTCAGAGAATTGCTAAATTGGGTTAAAAAGTTCTTGAGTGGCGACCGCGTACCTGAAGATGGAGTAGGGGTAGGCAGGAGGCCGTTGGATGCAGCACAGGTACGGTTCTTGTGGCAAATTTTGGGAAGGTCTATGCCTAGCAGTAGACATCTTTTGTCCGAGATGAAGATGTATGATTTTCTATGTGATGTTTCCGATTGGATTGCAATATCGTTTTTATTTAAGAGGAAGTAAATAGTAAGTTTAGTGAGTTCATTTATTACGCTTTCACGCTGTAACTACTTCACTAATCATCATAAATGTTGTACACCCCTGTTCTAACATAAGCATATTATAATCGGACTACTTCATGTTCATATGTAGCAACAGTGCAGAGAGCTAAAATTTTTAAACTATATGTGGCATATGGTTAAATATTATGTAAAAACGGACCATAGAGGTTCAGTATATATTTTGATTTGGTACAAAAACTCTATAAGATTAAATAATTTAGTGTGAGAGTAATGGTATTTCATAAGTCATTTTGAGTGGAATTATTTTTATTATTATTATGATGATAGTCAAAGTATCTCACTTGGGCGCGACAGTCGCTAGAAGCGGCTGATTATCAGCACTATCCTCGCCATCACTGACACGAGGTTTCTCCTTTGTTTTTTCTGGCTTTTCTTGTTTTTCTTCCTTTTCACTTTTCTCGCTTTTGTCAGTTTCGCTCTTATCAGAAGAATCTTTATCTTTACCGCGTTGCTATAAATAATAAGAAAGTCAAAAATCTCATTAATTGTATTTGAACATTTCAATTTCGAAATAAAAAAAATCATTTTGTCTCAAATTCAAATTGCACAAACCAGAAATATATATTTCAAGTAACAGTGTGCCATTCAAAAAGAATCATTGCTAGTCCTTTAGTTCACATGTAACTTCTGAGTGATGATTTGATTTTAAAAATCAGAAAATTATATTATTTCTTTATTAAAAAATTAATCATCATTTCTTCATAGCTACATAACACTTACGAATACGATCAGTAAGTTTACGTGAGTGAAACTACCGAAGATCGCCACCTCCATCGATATCCAAGGTGCCTTTGACAAAATCAACTTCACCAGCATTAGCCAAGCTCTGTCTAAACATGGTTTGATTCCACAATCTCAGGGTGGGCAATGACCTCTGGTATTGTTTTCGAATGCCATCAAGCATTGGAGCAGCTTGCCACAGTAAATGGGGCACTACTCCAATGGATTAAAGGGCATAGTAATTCACACGGGAACGACGCCGCAGATGAGTTGCCCAAGACGGGCTCGGAAACCCCGGCCACCGGCCCAACCATACTGCTGCCACTGCCTTTTAACCAACTACGATCCTGAGTAAGACAGCGTACTAGTGAAGCGCACAACCGAAGGTAGGAAAACTCACCCGGCTGCAGACAGTCCAAGCTGGTGCTGACTGAAGTCTCCCCACGACTTATTTGCCGACTAATCACTCTTAGTAGACTAGATATCCGAATAGTTGTAGGAACTATAACAGGACACCTAGCTCTGAATGCAGAAGTAACGGCGGCCCACGTAATCCTGAAATGCGAGGGTGTGACCACACAACAGGCAAGTATCATTCCTGATACAAAATAGCTCCTGGAAACACCCCACGAGCCCAGCTCTGCTCTGTGCTTCTGGAAGGAGCTTGGTTGGCTCACCTAGCCAACCTGTCCTCGACGCATAAAGGACCATCTTGAGTCTAAATGCGGAAACCGGAGCCCACAACCAATACCAATACTACTGAAGATGATGACATGTTTTTATAGAAGTAACTTTTCATATTTTGTTTAAAAAATAATATAGATGAGCAATTGAACATTCATCTTGATCCGTGTGGTGATGGATTAAGAATACAAAGTGACACCACCCCTATTCATTCTGTAGATGTCGTAAGAGTCGACTAATAGAGGAAACTAAGCAAGACTACAGCACTGCAAAAAGAAGGAAAACTTGAAACAAACCCTATACAGACCCGTCTGGCCAGCTTGGTATAGTAGGCCAAAACCTCCTTTCTAAGGAGAGGCCTATGTCCAGCACCGGACTAGTAAAGGCTGTTAATGATAAAGGTCCGATCAATGCTCAGTATGGAGTCAGAAATAATTAAGATGGTAGAAATTGGTAAGTCATCATTACCTGTGTAGGAGTGCCAGTAGGTGTGGAGCAGGCGGAGGCCGAGGCGGAGGAAGAAGTGGGCGGGTGGCGGTCGCGGTCGCGGATGAGCGAGCGGCCCGCCGGCGGCGTGCGGGCGCCGCGCGGGTGCGCCACCAGCGTCACGCCCAGCTTGCGATAGAAATCTTCGTAACTGTGTAGGAACCTGACAAATACGAGCACCGAGGTAAAATACACTTTGACAAACCTTTACGTTTTCCTTCTACGCAAATAGCGTATTTGCCAGTTGATAGCCATAGCATAATAAGCCTAGGCAATGCCTATGCTTATTGCTCACATTGACTATGGGAGTCCTATAGTCCATGTGACCCCAAATTTTGTTGTTTAACCGCATTATAATCGCTAATTTTATGTAACAAATAATCGCTAATGTAGGCTCTAAACTAAACTTTCGATATATTACACATAGTGAAATCTTCTGTTGTTTGATTTAAGTTGTATCATCATCATCATCATTTTTCACTTAGGAAAAGATTGTGAAACATTATTATACAGAAATGGCACTCACTTTTTGTATGCTTGTTTGCATAGATTAGTAATACTTGTAGTAACTGGGTGGAAGCCCATCTTGTCCGCAATAGTTTTCCATTGATTTTGATTAGTAACTCTGTTGTAGCCACCCAACTTCTCTACAACCTAAAAGAAATTAAAAAAAAGGTTGATTTTACACTACTATATATTTGTATGTTTATACTCTTATACTTGTATGTACATGCGTATTTTTTTCTTATCAAGTGAATGTAGATTTTTTTCAACTAATACAAATATCAAATACCTTTCTTCCTTACCTAAGGTTTGAAAGTGTGACAAATAAATAAACTTACTCTTGCATTTGTAATATTGTAAATGACACCACAAGCTGAAGGCTTTTTTTTTATATATTTATTCAAAATGTGTAGTACATATTATACACACTTAAAGTATGATAAACTGTAGAATAGTTTGTCTTGTAATGGATTTGTATAATATTTTATATTTTACTCACTTTAAACAGTCTATACAAGTCAATGTCTTTGTTTGCGATAGTGGGGTTTCTGTTGAGCGGGGTTCCCCTCTCGTCCATAAACTTGTAGAGCTGCGCGACGAAGTGGTCCTTCTCCTCACGCGGCTCATCATCTGAACTCTGGAAAGATTAGTTTTATTGTTTAACTTTATTATTTTCTTTTAACGACTTTTAGAAAATATCTCTGAACTTATTTGAGTACATTTTTTTCGTTTTTTTTTTTAAATAAGAGATGTTATTTACATACATCATCGGAAGTATTCCTGGGTTCGTTGAAAAGCGTGTCTCTATCCCAATGAGGCGGCAACACCCCATTGTTGAGATATTGTAATGCGGCTTCCACACCAGCCCATTCTAGAGGCGCACTACCTTTACGAAATTCACGGGCTTCTTTCTTGGGGACCGTGTAGCTGACAAAAGAAAAAATGTGGTATTAAAATAGTTTCGTAGCACAAGATATGCCTAAATTTTTATATTAGGAGGCAGCTTGCTACTACACCATTGGTATGATAAGGTTTTGGTATAAAAGCTCTTTTTTGGGGTTAAAATAAATATCATAAAAAACTGTTACTTACTATCTGCCATCTTTGAAGGACCTAACGAGGTAGTCTTCCTTGACTTTGATCTGAGCGGTGGGCGCTACGACAAGTGCTGGGAAGGCGGGCTGATGCGGCCGCCGTCTCTCGGCTCCGCCACCCGCCTCCACCAGCACCACACGTCCCACGTGTGGCTCCACGTCTGCCTTTACGCGCCGACCACTGCCGGAGCCCTCGCTTTCTTCTGACCTATATTTAAAAATGAATTATCAGTTTTGTATCAAAGTGAATTAATGACTAGGACAAATATGAATGACTTTTAAAACTATGGAATATAATGGATTTTTATATAAGGATTAGTACTTGAATGCTTAGTTGAGGTGTATTTGTGAGAAAAATGGCGTGAATATTTAAACTCACTGTGCTCTCCCTCTCCTGCCCCTACGGCCTGCTATCACAGGGGTGGAGAAGTGTTCTGGATGCGTCAGAGGCAACTGGTCAAGTGTCTCACTTTCGTTAAAGTGTCTTCCACTTTTCAGACACAACGCTGACCGTCGCAGTGTCGTTATGTCGCCGTCGTCAAATACTACAAACATTTTATAGATATTTAATATAATTTAATAGAAATCTAATCTCAATTAATAAAAATATATCTCACATGTGGCCGTCTAATCCTAAACTAGGCAAAGCCTGTGCTATGGTAACCAGACAGCTGATAAACATACATATATATTATTAAATACATACATATTATAGATAAATTACACCCAGACATAGAACAAATAACCATGCTTATCACACAATATTGTCCTGGGTGGGAATCGAACCCACAACCTCCAGCTTAGCAGTCAGTGTCACTAACCACTAGGCCAACAGGCCCTTTGCTCCTATGATATAATGATTTATAAGTTTTGATTGACCAAAGATTCACTATTGGGTGCAAAAGAGGCAGATATTTTAGTTGCAAAATCCTATTTCTGTCAAACCCAGCGATATATGCAAAAGTAAACAAATCGCGTTTGCATATATTTCGGACACACTAACAGAAAGTATTTCTTTAACTTCATTTTTAGTAAAAAAATCTGCACAATTTATTAGTAATGTCTATTAATTTTTCAGTTTTTTTCATGAAATAATTTTGGCAGTCACTTGTTTAGAATAAACTGTGATTTAACTGGGTGGTGGGTAACTTTATTCCTATTTTAAAGTTAGGTAATCACAACTAGGGTAATATCTTCAGCAGGGTATATGTTTCAAACTTATTCATTGCAATGTTACTTTAAACAATCTTTTCTTTAAACAAAAACTAAATGATGACCAAACTGGTGAATATGTAGTAAAAAAAGAGCTGCAGATTTAATAACCTTGCTTAATATATTTCTTGCGCTATAAGCTTAAAGCTTATTTTTTATTAAAACAAGACCTACCAACAGTATACTGGCTACAATCTTGTATCTTAGTGATGACAGCTTCCATAGCATCCTTTTTAGGGTCCTGTTTCACTTCTACTGTGCTCCCTACTCTAAGGTTGCCTTTAATCACATCATCATTAACAGTGATAGTTCCACCACCAGCTTTTACAGTTACCTGCAGGGCAAAATTGTTGATTTGAGTATTTTTGATACTTAGTATAAGCTATGTATTACCCAGTGGTTATAAATTAAAATACTACTTTCTTTAATAAAATGTATGTTTGTACTTGGTTGTACTGTAGTGTAAGGTTTTGCAGCAGCAATGTATAGCATACAATTTCAAGGTTGTGAGCTACTTCCATTTCAACATCAAATTAAATAACACAAACATTTTATTTTCTTTTGTTTTAAAGTTACACAGTACACATGCAAAGGTAAAAAGTTTTTTTTATATTGCTGTCTTTTATATACCTGTTAAAAATATAATATCGTAAAGAAAGTTAAATTTGACATTAATACATTGAAGATTCTTTAAAATCTATAGCAGCTACTTTATATTGATTTGTATTATGTAGTATATATTGTGAATATTATGTTGATGTACTTACTTTGCACTTAATATTCCTCACAACTTTCTTAATCTTGGCCTCACAAAAAGCACCTTTATATTTAGCACTTACATCAGTACCAACAGGCAAGAATGGTGGATCGTCTCCCTGCTGTAAAATTGCAATTCAATTGTAAATATTGTTTGAGACTATTTCATTTAATCTTATTATAGATAAAACTTACCATTTTCCAAGACAGTTTAAGGTGAAATCTGCCAATCCTAAAAATAATAATGAAATGTAATTTAAAAAATTATGTTAATTCTTCTATTTTATAAGTTTTTTCTAAGCAAGTTTTGAGACCTATTATGTGTGTGACTGCTAATGATTGAAATAATAGTAGTATCATAATTAATAAGTATATACTTATTAATTATGATACTTATAAGTAAGATCTGACAAATTATGACAGTCAATGGTGAATAATAGAAACTTTAAGATAAATTGAATTCCAAAGTGATTATTTTAAAGATAATTATGGTATGTCATTAATAACTGACCGTTCGTCAGTTATTTAAAGAAATTATTAATAGCTAATTGGTTAAAGAAATTAAAGAGTTCTATAATATTTTCCAGTCACCTCTTTACTCAATGTCACTCTGTTTTTTGTAACACATAGGAAACTTACCATTATTACATAATAACTCAATGATATGACTGTGAAAATTAGGGGGTAATCATATTAACATACAATATTGATCTTTAAGGGCATAATGTAGAACATTATTAACCATTTCCATACAAGCGTTATTGCAATAGTAGCGTTGGTCTAAAACGTAACACATTGTGCACGGCACATATAATCAAAAGTAAACTTCATAGGAAATGTTTCTTTTCGTTGTATTTTGATAAGATTAAATCCTAGACAGTACAAAATACTGACAACAAGCAATAACAACAAGCGTTGTTTAAAAAGAAAGTGGAATGCGCGGCAAATGAACACAGCTCTTATTACCATTTTCGTTAAACAAATATGCGTATATTCACCTTCAGAATGATAGTATTTTAACACCACATTGACATGTCACATAGGAAAAAATGTTGAGAATCAAAAGAAATACACTTAAAATCCGACAACCATTTTTCGTTCTTCTTCGTGTCTTACTGATATATTGACACTAGGTGCTTATTGTGTTGCCAGATTCATAATATTTCATAAACAAAAAGTGTGACTAATCACATCATCATCAACAGCCTATAACAGTCCACTGCTGGACATGGGCCTCTCCTTAGAAAGGAAGTTTTGGCCTACTATACCACGCTGGCCAGACGGGTTGGTATAGGGTTTGTGTCAAGTTTTCCTTCTCTTTGCAGTGCTGTTGTCGGCTCCTACGACACCCACGGGATGAATAGGGGTCTCGAAATTCCGTATTCTTAATCCGTCACGACACGGATTAACTAATGTCTAATGGTCAGGTAGATTTCGAACCTTTTTAAAAGGGATGCTGTTCAAAAATCGACTAATTTAGTACATCTATTTGCGTTAAGGTTATCTGTGGCATTAGGAGTGACACAAATGAACAGTGAACACGTCAAACAAAAATAGTTTTTGTGTTTTATGAAGATACGAAATGATGTTTTGAAAATGTATTTACTGACATATTCGCGATTTTGGTGTGCCTAGAAATTTATCAGAACATTTCATATGAAAATTATAGTGCATCGGTAAAGTCGGTGAACCGCAATAATAACAAAATGAAGGCTTTACTAGCAACTGTGATCAGTCTTGCACTTACGACTGTAGTTATCGGCAATGCTTATTATCAGAAGAAACAGTTTTATCCTTCAATAGTTTATCTAACAAATTCAAATCCCAGCATGGCTGTAAGTATACTATGTTTACCATCATAAACCTTATTGTAACTTCCTTAACGAAGTAATGAAACTCCGCCATTAAATATAAATTTCACAATAATTCGCTTCTCGGATAACATTTAGTACAATATGTTTCAAAATTTGCCGGCCTAAAATCGTCAGCAATTCTAATTAGAATTTTATTTTCAGGTGATGTATTTGCAAGCTTTTATACTAGTTTTACTAGTGGGTAAACTATTAAGGAAGATTTTCTTTGGCCAATTGCGTCCAGCCGAGTTTGAGGTAAACTATTAAAACAATGAACAGACTATTTACTAAATAACACTAAAATATATCACACAAAAAATAAATTATTTTAAAATTGATTTTTATTTTTTTAGCATTTGATTGAACGGTCATGGTATGCTATAACAGAGACATGTTTGGCATTTACTGTCTTCAGAGATGACTTCAACCCAAAATTTATTGCGTTGTTCACTCTATTGCTTTTCCTTAAAGCATTCCATTGGCTCGCTGAAGATAGAGTTGACTATGTAAGTAACTATAAATAAGCTTTTACATTAAAAGACAAAGAACCTAATTTTAACTTTCGTCTTCTATTGCTGCTTGTAATTAATTAATATTTGAGTGATTCCAACTACCACAACTAATAGAACCTGTCATAATTATTTACTAATTAAGTACTATTAATTGTTTTTATGCAATATTTTATCAAAGCATTCATTTCAACATTATTAAAGGTGATAATTAGCTTTTTATTAGGTCTCTTCATAATATGGAAACAAGTAATTGTAGCAACATGGTCAAAGGTGACAGTCAATGTATGTAAATTAATACAAATATGTTGTTTTCAACTTAAAATTAATTATACATACACAAGGATAGATTATTGTAATATACACTGATCTGTGTAATCTTTATATCAACAAACTAGACTTTACTATTACTAACTATAACTAACTATAACTAGCTGGCAATTACATATTGTATAAAAATATTTTTTTGCAAATTAGAGATGTGCCTTACTCTCAACTTTGCCACAAATATTATAAATTATATCAACAAACTAGACTTAGCTGACAGTAACTGTCAACCAAGTCTAGTTTCTAGTTGTAGTTATTATATAAAAAATAATGTTTTGCAAATTAGACATTTGCCTTACTCTCAACTTTGTCACAAATATTAAAAACTAGCTATTGCCCGCAGCTTTGCTTACATGGTTATTTCTAATTTTGTGTTTCTATCTTTGAAAATGGCAAACTTCCAAATGAGCGGTGGATGGATAGCAGTTGGCTCACCCCTCAATTTATAACCGTGCCTCCGTCTGCATGTATGTCGGTTATGGCAGTAAAAGTAGTCTATAGCACTCAGGGATAATATACCTTTCTAATTATGAAGGAATTTTCAAAATAAGATCATTCGCACCGTAGATTACCAGATACGTTTGGGACATACAAACTCACATAAATTTCCAAAAATCTTTTCTTAGTGTGTTCTTAAAACATAAAAAGCATCAAGTTGGTTGCCCCAGCTGCTTAGGCTTTGTCTTGATGATCGAGTCAGTCAGCAAAAGTAATTATATATATATATAGATTAACATAGTTTTATTAAATATAGACTTTTGCTAAAGTGTTATGCTTAGATAAACTTTTGACTTATATTATTTTACTGATATCATACATTTCATCATACACACAATTACTTTTTTAATAACCAACAAGATCTAATGGCTATTGTCAGATTATTGTGAAATGACAAAATGTATTAGTTGCAAATCTCCATTTCAGAAACACTTAAATATTTTTACAATATTGTACTTGATATAATTTTATTGCTTACATTAACAAATGCTGCTGTAATATTATTAGCATTTGATGTTGTTCATATTTAATTGTTTTAAATGTGGGTGGTTTGTATGTACTGATTCTAATTGGATTTACAGACTATATTAAACATAAAATTGATATGATTTAAAATAATCATATCACCCTAATTTTACACTTATTTGGTGATAAATTTGTTGATGCTTTCAGATGGAGAGAAGTCCAGTCATAGGTTGGCTATTTCATGTTAGAATACTGACATTGTTGCTGCTACTAGCCAATTGTGACTTCTATTTCATCCACCATGCATACCAGTTCACGGCTTCTAAGGGGCCCTCAGTGCAACTTGTCTTTGGATTTGAATACAGCATATTGATTATAATGATTGTTAATATATTAATCAAGGTAAATATACGACCTGTTATAATACTTTCTAGAAATAATAATAAGAGGCTCGCGGTAGGCAGTTGGATTAAGGGCCTGATGCAGAAAGCAGTTCTCCTCGATACGGCACGTATTGTGATTTATTTCAGGCAATTGATGGTAGATTAAAATTTATTCTGTTCCCATATTTAAAATAATTTTTGTTCCTGAGACATTTTTACTAAATACTAAATGTTATTTAAAATGATGGGAGATAACTGCAAATAAAGGCACATGGGTTCCAGTGACTTTCTTGTTGAGAAATATACAATATTTACAATACATTTACAATACAAAACATAAAGTATTGTATTGTACGATATTTACAATACAATACACAAAGTATTGTATTGTACAATATTGTTACGAGCGGGGTATATAATAAATAAAAGTTGTCGGTTAATTACTTTATTGCATGTCTGATATTTTTATGTACCATAATACATACTTGTAAAATGTGTGCAAATCTATCTATCTATCTATATTTACAAACACTCACTATAATAAACTAGAAATCACTATACATATATCCCGTTAGTCGCACTAGAGATTCACACCCATGTGTCGTAAAACGATACTGTCCCTAACGGCCAACATGCTCCGCTTTTATGGCGCTTTTGAATTTTACTAGAAAGATGTATGGTCCGTTCCAGACAACACCAATATTCCAGAATCGGTCCGGCGTTACTTGCAGCGCCATCTAGCGCTGTAAGGATCAAAACTACTTGTATTAACCACAATCTTAATAGATGTACTTTAGTCGATACTAGATGGCGCTGTCCTCCACATTTCGTATACAATCGAAACATTTAATCCTATGACGCAACAATATTTACAATATTATACAATACTTTATTGCTTCCATGATGTCAATACATAAATGAAAACAATTCAAGTGGTAAAAATTATGGACCCTATCAGGAGCAGCACAATTTGTTTGTGAGAGAGAAAGATAACACAAACATAAATAGAGTAGAATGTTCAGTTTGTAATTAATACTATGGTAGGATACAATTATGGTAACTGTGTCATGTATTATTATATTATTATTGATATATTATTATTCGTTATCATCATTATATTTGAATCATTGCTTCTGAATCTCTTCAGTTGCAATAAAAGTTATTGTAGGAGAGCCATGGCATGGGTTATTCGGCACATATGAGCCAGGTTCGAAAGGAGTGATACCATGACTTCACATAAAGCCAGTGTTAAGCAGTTCTTTTATTGCAACTGTGAACAATCTGCCCATTATATACTCCGGAAATGTAGTCTTTGGTATAATGAACGTTATATTACGTTCATTATACCAAAGACTACATACATACATATAAATGTAGTCTTTGGTATAATGAACGTTATATTACGTTCATTATACCAAAGACTACATGCTGATTAAGCTTACAGGTGACTTCGGGGGTCGTATCATAATATACCATGTGGAGGATCATGTGCCAACTAGGGTGAATTTCCTTGCGTTTAGGCGATTCTGTCTTACATACTAAAGAAATCAAATATTCCGTTTAAAAGAGTGTATGCTTATTTTACTTCATTTTGTCCCTTGCTTTGCTAAGGACGGAAGTGGATTTTTTCAATTTCCAACTCCTCCAATTTTTTTCTGATTAATTTCGTTGCGGGTTCCAAGACAGTTTTTTTTTTTTTTTGCCTGGGACTTTCTGAGTGTCATAACTCCGTGTGTTCGTGAGTGTGGGAGGGATTAGTCCCATCAACGTTATTTTATTGCTTTACATTGAGTGAGTGAAGTTACTGGCGCCCAAACCCTCCTCTTCCCCGTGATTCTTAGGTCTTTTGAGTTGCAGATGTCCATGGGCGACAGTAGTCACTTACTATCAGGTGACCCGTCTGCTCGTTTGGCCTCTGTTGTTATAATAAAGAAAAAGAAATTAGTAAAGAATAGTTATATCTCTATTTTTTTTTAGTATGTTCTTCATGCGATTGACTCGCGCTGGGAAGCTCCGTGGGAGAGCAAAGCCGCAGTTCTGTTGTACACAGAATTGGCAATAAACTTCTTAAAAGTACTGCTGTATATTGGCTTTGTAGCAGTTATGGTCAGAATCTATACACTACCATTGTTTGCATTCCGACCCATGTATGAAACCATGAGGTGAGTTTTTAAACTATAAATCTATGTTTAATAGTTTTGAGTGTATGTATTGTATTTAAATTATAGAATTGATCACTTTATCATATGATTTAAAAAATTCATGAAATGATGCATCATACAATCAAGACTATATCAGTGCTTCTAACAGTAGAAATTGTAACTATTTTACGATACGAGTATTTACATTGACCTTATTATTATATTTTTATTTTCAATTTACTATACTTTTCAAGATACAATTATAATTTACAAATCTTAAATCATGAAGTAGTGCGTGTAGCTGTTCATATCCTCAACTGCTGATTATTTATGATCTTGCCAAAACAATGTTATGATGTAGCCAATCATTTCGTGAAATACGATCTATTTCATGAAACGGTCGGCTACATCATTAACTGGTTAATTCTTTGATCTGGCCGCATGCATTTATTAGTTTTCATTTATGTCATTAGTGGTGGTTGTTTTCAAAAGAATATTAGTGGTTCTCAAGGCGAGTCAATTCAAACTTTCTGATCAAAATTTGACACACCTGTAAGTTATAAATTAAATTGCTATTGTTTACTATAAATTTGTTACGATACGATAAAAAGGTTAAACACCTTGGGTATAAAAACTCTCAATAGGGAATATGCATGTGTTTTTTTTATTTTTTTAAACGATTCTACTACTTATTACATTACCAAAAAAAAATATAACACATCCGAAATATAAACCGTTAAGCAAAAAAAAATTATTAAAATCACCATCATTTTGGGGCAATTTGAACACGTTCATTTTGGCGCGCTTTTTTTGTGACGTCAGATTACACTTTCAGACGAATTCGATGTCAACAACGGAGTGAAGTTCACAAAGTTTGTGAAAGTTAAAAAAGTGAGTGATAAAAATTAACTTATTACCATGGAACAGCCAATAAAAACTTATTATAAATATTGTGCCGTTCCTTTGTGCCCAAATAATATCAAAACTGCACCTGACAAAGTATATTCAGTCATTGTGTTGAGTCTTTCTACACGGGAATTTAATAATTTAACACTGAAAACGTATTAGTTATTAACTTAAAATGAAACAAATAATCACCAGAAACCAAATATTACAAATACACACAACTTGTTGACACTCTTGACAGTGTAGGTTGACGTCACGTTTTATTCAACCAATAGCGTTGCGTTTTAGAAATTTGCGAGGGAATCTTAAAAAAGCCAATTTTTGATGATTAAATTTCACTATTAAATTATAATAAATTTCAAAAATAATTGTATGGGTATCTTTTTTTAACAATAAAAATTACAAATAAAAATATTTTGTCCATTTTGGTGTCACGTGCATATTCCCTATTCATCGTATAGTGTGGTGAATTATATCGAATCACATCGAACCTTTAAGGTGGAACTCTTATTAAGCCACAATCTTTATGTGGTTTTGGCTTAAGTTTGGTCAGTTTAGACTTTAGATGATTACATTCTGTGGCGACACCTATTTTCGCCATTCGTTCTAATGTTGTAAAGTCGTGTTAAATATTGTCTACATGTTTATAATCGTTTCGAACAACTGCTAAACTGCTTTATTAAGAAACAAATTTTGTGCTTTATTTGTAGGAGTTTCAAAAAGGCGTACAACGATGTAGTGCTATCTCGACGTGCGATCCGTAACATGAATACGTTGTATCCGGACGCGACGCCCGCGGAACTCGCCGCCGCTGACAACGAGTGTATCATCTGTCGTGAGGAAATGCACACTGGTAAGTAGATTGTGTTTATGACACAACCAGAAATTCGACCAATAGCAACAATTCGACAAAGTATTTCAGTAGATGACATTGGCAGTATATGTAACAAATCAGAATATCTGCATATTCCTCGTTCGTACAGGTCCTTATCTTCAACAGTATCATAAGCACAAATCAAAGAAGATAGTAACAATGTATGAAGTATATAAAAACAGTAAAAAAAAGAAAAAAATTAAGGATATAAGATCTAAAAAAATTGTATAAGGCAAAAGATTTTTATAAAAAATCCTGAAAGTCCTTAAAATTTTTTAGTTTTACGATATGGTATGTCATAGTGAAGTCTATTAATAATGATAGCTACTACAACCTCCTAAAGTATCTAGGTCGACTTAACCAGTAACCCTGCATATAAATAGAGTTGGTGGTTTAAAGTTTGTTATCTTTTATCTAAAATTGAAAGTTTTTAAAAGAAAGATGATTCCTATTTAATATTTTATTTTTGCACGTGCCGCGTCATATTTCTACATCACCTAAAGGTTGACTGGAAGAGAATGCCCCATGGCATCAGGTCCGCCTTTGTATAATATGTGCATTAAGTTATAAATAAATAAACTTTCCACGCACTTTGAACAAACTTCAAACACCGCACAGTTAGCACTACAGCCAGGAATACCGTTCAGTATCGTTACTATAAATATTTTATTGCTTCGTACATTAATTAATTAATTAAAATAGTAAAGTAGAATTCATTCTGTAACGTTAATTACTATTTTAAGAATCATCTGATAATTTCATTTGTTAAAAATAAGATTGTTTTTGTATAAAATGTGCAACACTGGTCATTGATGAATTAAATACACTTTGACGTTTTCAATATTCTACTTAAGATAAAAATGTTGAACGAGAATCGTCACTTTACGATTACGGTGAGAGTCCAAAATATTTCGATAAGTGTTGTGTACGTTTTGCTTCTTTTATTCATTACAAGTGCTGCGAAGGAATTTACAGTTAACAAATACAATTTCTATGTTTTATATATAATTTAAAACAAAAAAGTATTAATAATTTATCAATTTCACTCGCTATTCCAAACATGCGTGTTTGATAAAGTACAAGGTCAATGTAACGTCGGAACATGTGTTTGGTACAGTAAAAGAACGAACTATAGAATGTATGTGTTGGAAGCCGTCTTAAATAATATACTACGTGTGTTAATCGTACTGGCGGGCTTGGACAAATTTTTGTTACAAACGTTTTTGAACATCAATGTTTGTTTGTGACATAGATTTTTAAACAATTTACATGCATTGAGTTTAAACTTAGGTAGGTATTACTGTTGATGCTCATATTTGTAGCGTTTTGATTCTGACTCAAACAATAGCTGTCTATTATATTAGGACGTTACGGAAGAATTATACAATTTGCAGTTAGTCTATAATAGTCAGTTGCGGTTTGGTAGGTACTATACTGTACCAATACATTCGATTCGACATAATCATACTTAATTTCCTGCCTCTCATATCGTTATTTTTGAAATTCTTTAAGTACATTTCCTCTTTCTCTCTGGCTGTCAATTCAAATCCATATCTTTATAGCAAACATGAAAATGGCACTATGAGTATATTTTTGTTTGAAAAATTAACGACGACAAAAAACAAAAAAGTGATTGTATAATTTATTTCGAGCATCTGTCCGATTCTCGAGGACGGTTATAGTTTATTATGCGTCATGTTATGATCATCAGGAATGACACTGCAGGTAACAGCGACTACAGTCCATCTAATCTAAGAGGTACCGTTTGACAGTTCTGACAGATTGAAGTACATCGATGGGGTCATAGAAAGCGATTACTAAAATATCTGATTCTTAAGAGATTTTGATATCATTTCTTAATATGTGCTAATCGAATACAGTTTAACAGATTTATGTATGTTACTATAAAAGCCCGTGTAATGGCACATCATAGGTTTTACTAGTAAATCTTAGAGTTGGACACGAGCGAATTTTGCCTACAAAGATTTATTTAAAATAACACTAACTTACAAACTTTTAATTTTATTATGCGTTTCCGTTGAGATTTGGATGTCAGATGAATTTTAAGTATTCAAACTCCAAACTCTTATTTCATAAATTTTTTTTTTTTTGAAATCGTCTTTTATGTATACTCTAAAGCCATAGATCAACACACACAAAAGCAACAATCTCTGTTTTGTCAAATAGTAAGCAAATAAATTTAACAAAAATCAAACCCATACAACATCTATGATATGCCTGTGCCGATCTACAACCGCCCGTTTCCAAGGGGTTGAGCCTTATGAGAAGAAAGGGCAAACAAACTCATGGCCACTCTTTTGCAATTCACAGATAGATACAATGGCACTATTAAATATACCCACAACATTGTTTTGATGTGTGCCAATATGTCCGTTATTAAGGACTAAAAGGTAAAAGACAATTAAGAGAAAACAATATTAAGAAAAAAAAGAATAAAAGAGAAAATGAAGTGAAACATTAAAAATAGAAAAAATAATAATAATAAAAAACACACTAGCCACACTACATTTTTACTTAAGAAAGAAATAGCCTGCGCTAATTAATCCCCAAGCATTCTTGTCTTCTATCTAATCCACAATTGAGTAGTAGGCCCTCTGGCACAAGCCAATGAAATGAAGTTTGAAAAGAAATACATCTATAGTGTATAAACTGCTTATTTTGCTTCGTTTCAAAAATTTCAAATTTAGTCTTTAAGAATTGTATATCTTATGACAAAATAAAAATGGCTATATAACTGACGCCTATACAAAGATGTTTCGTCTTGAAAAGTATGAAACGTCAAACGGTACCTCTTAGATTGGATGGTCTATAGGTGGTATATGTAATAATAAGCGTTTGTTACTTAACGTTGCGTAAACTCGTCGACACTGCGGAAAATCAATAATACTCCTTAGCGTTAATATTTTAATACCAATAACTAAGTTTATTTAATTTCACAGGAGCCAAAAAATTGCCATGCAACCACATATTCCATGCGGCTTGCCTAAGGCTATGGTTCCAACGACAGCAAACATGTCCCACGTGTCGGCTAAACGTTCTCCGGGCGCCCGTACCGGACACGACGGCGGCAGGAGGCGCAGCGCCCGCGCCGCGCGCACCGCTAGCCCCCAACGCCGCGCCCGCGCCGCCGCCCGCAGCCGGCCCCGTGCCGCCGCCCTTCCCCAACATGCCGCCGCCCCCACGTAACTAGTTCTACCTAATTTATTATTGATTCGAATTGTGAATTGAAACCTCTGCTGTAGCTTTTCAGACAGGGTTCATATGTGATATGAATAAATCTCTGTTAAAGAACTAAAAATTTCAAAAGTACTATGTACCATGTTGCGAAACAGTCTAATAATCCAAGAAATCAAGATCCACCAGAAAGGGGACACGCGTGGACGGACACATACAAATCTCATAATCTAATACAGAAACGGATATATGTACTGTCACTAGTAATAGTGTAACATGTGTGAAACCTTAATATGAGATTTTTGCACATAATTATATATTCTATTGTATATTTATAGCCATGATGGCGTGGGGAATACCACCACCGCCTCCACCGCGCCCCGCCTCCCTCGCTAACCTGACTACTGCTGAACTTCAACGCATGGAAGGAAATGAGCGTAGAAATATTGAAGCTCGCCTTCAGGTATTATATTTATACACAAAATGGAAAGGTAAACTTGTGACCTTGACGTAAACCGATGCAAAATAAACAAAGTATATTGTTTTAATATTTTGTGTAGTAGTAGAGTAGTGGATGAACTTTACCCACATTAAAAAAATAACAATATGGCCACTCTTAACTAAGGAGAGGCCTATGTCCAGCAGTGGACTAGTAAAGGCTGTTGATGATGATGATGATGACTCTTAACTAACTGTATATGTAGTCCGATTTATTATAGGACCGTTTACCATTATTAATATTAAATCACACGCGCCTTTCACACAACATTTTGCTTTTAAATAATAATATTAATAGTTTTACTAACAAGCGTCATAAGTGCGCGGTATTTATTTGAATTAAGTAGGACACACTTTAAAGGGCAAAAATAATCTCTGAAATAAGTCGTCGTTCTGTGATTTTTTTAAACAGTATAAGTTTACGTTTTACAGTTGCTGCGAGAAATCCAAGCGATGCTGGATGCGTCTGTGCTTCTAATGCAGCAGTACTCGACGGTGGTGGCCAACTTACCGCAAAACAGCACTACCGTCTCTACTCAGACAGAAACGTAAGTTATTTCTATCACCCGATTCTGACGATTTTATTATATTTATGTACTTTCGACGACATTAGGATGAATATGCACTAATTTCGACATATAATCCAAATACATATAATTTCATTATATAATCCTTTAACATATTATGTTGACAAATGGAACCTTTATTTACTTTCAAACTTGTAACAATTTATTAATTTATATTTCGACAGTAAGTATGGGCAGACATAAAAAGGGGTACAACCAAAATGTTTTGAACAAGTGACTTGACTTTGGAAGTAGTATCTATTCATTGTTTCAGTGAATTATAACTCAAAAACATTTAATTTATGCAAATACATTTCAAAATTAGTTTAAACCCAATTTATTATACACTGCAATCAGAATCAATCAAGTACATACTTCAACTGCATAAGATTCAAAATGTTTTTCAACAATATGGTTACTTACTGGTAATGTGCTTGCATATACTATATATTTTTTTAATACAAAATGTATTCAAGTTTGTTTACGTGCATATGTTTTGGCTGCTTTGTACGTGAGACCCTATTTAGTGGAATTAACAGGATTATTTGCAGTTTTTTCATAACTTTTTTGATTATAAGTTTTAAAGTAACATATATATTTACTTCGTTATTATTTTAGTAATTTGTTTAAGTAATTTGCGATAAAAGTTCAACACATCGTATCACTGACGGATTATATCCATTATATTGGAAGTTAACAAGGCCTGATTAAACCCTCTGTAATCCAATATGAATATATATTCTGTACTGCGTATTTCTTTTTGCAGTCAAATAGAAGAGACTCGAAGAGAACCTGAAGAACCCGTGGTAAAGTCAGAGCCAGATGTGGTGCCAACCACATCGAGCTATAAGTCACCCTCGCCGACACCATCCACCAGCAAGACGTTCGCACCGTCCGTTTTAGACGGAAGCAGCTCCCAAATGCCACAGACGGATACACCTACTTCTATAGATTCTAATAGGTGAATTTTTGTCATATATTTGATATGAATCAGTAGGAGTTCTTAAATACATATTTATAGCACAATAATGTTTTATGTTCAGCGAAGTTTGGTGCATCAAACATATTATTTTTTTAAAGTGACATCGATTTTTCTTTAACTTGAATTCTCTTTATATAAGTGTAATATTTAGGTTTGTGTCAGTTTTTCTCTCTAGACTTTATATTAAAAAACAAGTGTTTGAACTGAAAATTTAAATAACCTAAAATGTCTATGTACTTTTACGAAACTGTGTGTATATTTATTATTATATTATTTATTTTATTGCAGAGACAAGACTGACGCCGATGCCGATGAGCTAAGAAGACGTCGGCTTCAAAAATTCGCGATGGACAAATGAGCTTGTTGTATACTTTTTGTTTCGATTTCCTAATGTACTATTATTTAATGTACAAAGTGTTTCGGTATGTGTAAGCATTATCTATTCTTATCTGAAATAAATGTATTTATGTTCTTGTAAATATAATGGGATATACACATGAATACATACAACCATACTTTGCTTTCTTAAACATTCCGTAAGATAAATGGTGACCTAGTGAGCTGGTAAATCATAGAAACAGAATTTCTTATTTAGCTACCGAACCAGACAGATAGCGCTAATGTAGCATTTTTTTGTTGCATGTCATAATTTGTTTTGACCATGAAAAAAATATGTACATTGAAATTGAAGAAAAATAACAGTTCCATTTAGGTCAAAAGAATACAAAACATATTTTATATTACGTCCATCCAACAACCCGTTTGTAGCGTCACATATCTGCTCCAAGGTTCATCTAGAAACATCAAAACGAGAAATCGTTAAAGCCGTTTAGGAGGATATCGGTCACATGTACAGAAACATTATGTCCATAAAGAGTAAAATGCTATGTGATTTCATCATCTAATTTCGAAGGGAATAAATCTGAAGAAATTGACATTATATTATCAATCCTTGGGATTCATAATATAATTTTATTTATTATTTACTTTATTAAAAAAACAACACTGACATCCGTTTAGCCGTGTGATTTTTTTTATAAGTTTGAGTAGATACATCGATGTTGTTAATTATTTTTAAACCACATACAATATTCATAGAATCTTAACTACATTATTATACAGTTTCATTACTTAACGACAATATTAGAAGTAGGTTTAAATTAACTTCGTAAATATTGTATACATAGTTAATTACAATTGAAGTTAATAAAAACGTTTAAGAAATCAGCCAAACTAGAAAAGTCTTTCTCAAGTGGTGCTCCGACATTATTATAAGTTTTAAGTATCTAGTGCTACTTCTATCATGATCATTTGTGTTCTGAATACGTTCGGACATACATATTGTGACAATTGTTACTCACATAAATGTGTATATAGATTAGAAGTCCCAAGTTACAGGTACCTGTACCTACTAGGTATTTATAAATTGACTCCTGTGCAACAGTTTTTAATTAGAGATCTCCAAGAAACCAGGCCCCTAATTTTCTTACGGTTAATGTAATTTATGTACTCTTAAGGTTTTTATTGTGTAAGAAAAATATGTCCGCTTATTATATATTTCTGTTTGTTCAACTTTGAAAATGGTTTCATAGGATTAATAAATGGCCAAGGGCATTTGCCCTTTATGAAAAGGCTTCTATATTCTTTCCTCTACAACTTGGTTTAACAAAATAATTATTTACAACTTGAAAGTAAAGGTAAGAAAATCAATGAAGTTAAAGATCTCTCTTAACAATGAAAACAAACTTCATAACAGTTTATCTTTCTACAAAGTCTCGTGTAACCATGCTGTGCCTGTACTATTCCACAATCCAGTTTTTCGTTTTGATTGTTTTGTGCTTTTACTAGGGACAACTTATTATACCTGCTATAATAAATAATAATGCCTAAATGGCGGCTATTTGTTATATGAATTGAATAGAATTTTCATTGCTCGTTTTTTACTGTTGATCTTTCTAATGTTGGCTATGTCACAGCAAAGAGTCTGCCTTTCTGTTTGTTAAATGGTGGTGATTCATAGGTATAATTATAATCTTACCGTACCTCTAAATTGCCGAATTTTAGAAACCAAGGTAAGAGATAAAGGAAACAGGTCAAGTAAACATACGGTAACAGTAAAAGAAAATAAAAAAACACAATTTCTCAATGATGATAATTTAATAAACTAAACAAATACTAAAAACTCGATGACTAACAGTTGTATAAAGCATTAATATATCCATAAACTTTGTTGTTATAATTTTCTAATGCAGGCATACCACCAAAGTAACAACTAGATTCATATAATTGTAGATTATTTTTGCTGTACCACACATTCTTGGTGCCTTCTGTACCATCTACATTTAGTGTATTTAGCTCAAGGACTCCAAAGTGATACTGCCGCCCATCTGTTTGTATGCAATTAATATATACAGGTTCTGGTAGGTCCTTTACATCTTCCTGTAACAGATAAACATTTTTTACCAACTGTTTTGGTGAGCATTAGTAATAATGTTTCAGATCTTATTTCAAAAGTTAAAATACTAACAAAACTGACTTAAACCAACGATTTGTTATTTTACTTTACCTTTTTTAACATTTTGCGTTATACATTTTAAGCTGTTAAACGTTAAACAGATCTTGTGGCATTTGTAGAAAAAACGTAATCGTATCTGCTTAAACTTGGTTGCTATCATTAAGATTTCTCTTCTCAGTAGCCGTATCAGTTTTTTATCAATAAACACATTTTTTGCATAAATGGCTTTTAGATAGAGAGCTGGCTAATAATAATCATTTTTATTAGAGTTACCATGACTCATTGCGTGTTAGTAGTACATAAAACTTATCCTATGTTAGTAGAGACAATTTACAATAATTCATTTATGCACTCCATGAGAGATGTTGCTGCAGTGACCTGCAATCTGCAATCATGGCTAGTATGCTGTAAGAGCTAGCCCGCAGCCATAATATACAACTCTATAAAAACAATACAATAATATACAGCAGCTAGTAGCAAAACCTCATGTTCATATATGGTCAGTCTTGAAGATTTACCTTCAGACAATATCATTGTGTTGATATAATAGTGTATTACCTTCTATATATCTTTAAGTAACTTCTACAGTTTGAATTTTATTACCTTATTTATTTTAGTTGGAAGCAATACCAGCCTGAAAAATGAGTACAGAACCAAACTTATTACTTACCCCATGCAGCTGCTTGGCATAAGCACTGGCAACTGTAAACGCATGTGTAAGTGATCTGCCAAGGATTTGTTCTTGAGTCACTGGAGTTTCATAGTTGTTGTTAACTTCAGTGTGATTATAATGCAACCAAGTTGTGTGTGGATGTCTTACATTCACAGTAGGACGGAATGCTGAAAATTATTTGTTTTTTTTTTATTAATTGTTAATATTATAAAAAACTTAATAGTCCTATATACTATGATTGGCATTATTGGATGGATAACTTGGAACACTAAAATATTTACGTAAATTAGTTAATTCTCTCTACACTAGTGACCGACCTTAGGTTCGGTTTCGGCAAGTTTTAGCCAAAAAATCTAGTTTTGGTTCGAGTTTCGGTTTCACCAAAATTGGCCGAAACTTTCAGCCGCACCGAATCTGTGTCGTACGTAGTTCGGTTAAGTTCGCGGGGCAAGCAAGCAGACGAATTAAGGTAAGTGTCTACCGCCACCCATGAACACCTGCAACTTAACAGTCACCAGTGCATTGCTGCTCTTGCAGTCCCTCCCCTCAGAATAAGGTGAAAGGGGAAGGTTTGGGCTCCGGTAACCTCTCTCACTAGGGGAAAACCAACGATGGAACTGCTTAACACAGACTTAAGAGAGTTCCTGTGAAGCCATGGTGTCATTCCAGTCGAGCCTGGCCCATATGTGCTGAGGTATGGTATGTTGTTGAATTACATTCTCTACCCCTATTTTAACATTTTTAACCACCTAAAAAACTTATACTATGTGTGATCTTCAGTTGCTTACATGAGAAAATGTAGTCTGTTCAAATTACCTAGTCAGCTGTCTCGCCCGTTCTTTCCCGCCTATCGCGTGAGGTACCTATCTAGTTCATTTAGACAGGTGAATTTCTACTACTTAGTATCTACATACATATTTCTTTTTATCTACCTACCTCAATACATTTTCTCTTAGAATGTATTACAGTGGTTTTAGGTAGTGAGTAGGTAAATATGAGCAAACAAATGGCTAAACAATTTACTAGGTTTTAGTATACAATCGAAATTTTAAAATCAAAGTTTGAGTTTTGGTTTCGGTCGAAACTGATACAAGGGCCGAAAGTTTGGTTTCGGCTGAAAAACCTGTTTTGGTGGGACACTAGTTTTTATTAGACTTTTGAAATACATAAGTAGACACCAAGATTTATTGGATAGGAGTTAACATGGAATTATATTATAACATAATGTGGTCCTCAAAATGTTGCTAGGTATAAGGTACTACTACAAAGTTGATACTTACGGTATTTGCTTGACTCACTGTAGAAGTGCTCCTTTGGTAATGTGATAGTGTATTTGATAGGATACAGGTTTGGAATGTCATTAAATGTTACATCCTTTTCTGTATCATGTTTTACAGGCTTGCTGCTAGTCACTAGTATATTAGAAATCTCTTGAAACTGAATGAGGTCATCTTCTTTATCAAACACTGAGTGGCATTCTACATCATTCACCACATATCTGGATTGTGTCACCTCAGTATCACTGCTCTTCTCAACAAGCTGCAGTAATTTATTTGTAAGAATTTCACTGTCAACATATCAATATTAAATTATTATTATTAAACACAATTAGACATCCTTCATATTGAGTTAAGGACTCAAGTTGCTTTAAAGAAATATCTCATCTGATAGTAATTACTGTTTAGTTTATACACACAATAGAAGAAAAAGTAATATCTAAATTATATTTGAAATCCAGCCTATTATTTTGCTACTAGTATTTTTTAACCTAAGTGTCTTTTATCAATTTAAATAATTTTCTCTTAACTATACAGTAATTTAATGTCTAAATTGTTTTACCACAATTAAGGTTAGAAGCAGGTAGGCAATTTATCAAATATTTAATTTAAAAATCATACTTTCTCCTCCTGTCACTGATGCCAAGTACTCTTGGAAAGTTGTATGCAGGTCTTACTGGATCTTTGATTTTTGGCAGCTTTTTTTGTTCTGGATCAAACACATTTGCAGAAAGTATTGCTTTCTTTATATTCTCGTGAATTGCAGCAGGTGCCGCCACTTCTGCCAGCTCTTCTATTTTTGGAGGCAATCTATTATCAGCTATTATTGTTTTTGTTAGAACCTGAGCTTGTGAGATACCTTGGAGAAGAACATTCGTGTTTTTTAATGTGTAACATGGGCGTTGTTTGTAATCTGGATGGTTTTCATCTAATGGAATAGACGGTTCATAAGGCCCAACAATTTCAACTCTGTAAAATTAATAAATATTTTCTTTAGAATTAGTTTTAACCAAACTATAGTTAGTAGCACTTTTTGCATATTTATACACATTCTTACTTTTCTTGTTTAGGTTTCTCCTTAATAAATTCTAGAGCATCTTCTACTTGGATACCTTGAGCTTTTAATTTTTCCTCAATGCCTGTATCAATGGGTACACGTTTACCTTGAATTAACCAATGCTTTTTAAACATAAAACCGATATGATGTCGGTTTAAAACTTGTGTTAAGCGCATTTTCGTTGTTATTTATTAGTTATTATTTCTTTTAAATTAATCACAATTCTCTTGTACTATAACCTCGATCTTAGCACAACATTTTGACAGCTGGCGATTAATTAGTGTTGCCAACTCTTTTAAATCCGAGACGCTAGGCTCAATACAAAAAGTCTAATCCAAAAGTACCTAGTCAGAAAACTTGCTAAATCGTTTTTGTCCTTAAAATTGTGTTTTTGTCTGTAAGGTTATGCAAAAATCAACATATCAGCGATAAAGTTGCTAAACCAGCGTAATAATTTATTAATTTCGTTAATTGTAGACTATTTAGTAGAGAGAACTAAAGCATTGTTTGTCATAAACACATTAAATGCTGTAGTCTGCAATGCTAAATCATGCAGGCAGCCCGGGCAAGTGCTCGCTGATTTGCTAGATGTTATTAATCCGTCGTTTCTTTTTACCTTAAGTGGATACTGATCTATAGAAATTATTAAAACATGGGTTACCAATAAAAAAGGCGGAAATACTGTAGAGAACCACTAGTTGAACAACATATGTTACCTACTAATTATAGATTATTCTACTAATTCTTATCAGTGTGTAATGTTCTGACTAAGGCCATTAGAATTTTTAAAATTTCCTCTAATAGTATTAATTACTATATTAGTGAAACCAAACATCAGATTAGCGATCGTACAAGAATAAACAAGTCATTTTAAGTGCGTGTTTTATTGATATGGTATCCGAAAGTGTTTTTTTTAATGTGTGGATCCCCCTCGGGCCGTCGCCCTACCCGGGTTTGCAGCAGGGTTTGTGTCGGAATCGGACCGACTAAAACTACACGGTTTGCCACTCTGCGTGGCTCGGCGAGCGGCCTCACGCCACTCGCGTATCTCTTCTAGCGGGGACCGACTGCCACCATCCGCCCGGAACTCAGCCGTCCGCCGATATACTTCTGCGAGTGCCAAAGCGCACGCCGCCTCCGTCGAAACGGTGCGGTAGCCGCGTATGGCTCTAACCACCAATATTCTCTGAGGGCGCCAGAGGCGTGCCCTATACAGTGCCATTGACCGGACAACAGTGTTGCAGTTTAGTAACAAATCTATGCTTTGGTGACAGAAAATATAATTGCCTTTAATTATTGCCCTGTGGTTGTATCAGCAATTCTGCAGTAGAGACAAGTCTTGCAAAAAATTGTTCTGCTGTTGAAGACTAAGGCCCGTATTTTAAAAGGTGTCTCAGTCGTGAATCTAGTCTTAAAACGAATTTTAAGTAGAGAATTTATTATTGAACGTCACTGAAAACGAGATTTTCCGATCCATACTCAAGTGAGTGATAGCTAATCTTAGAACGATGCTCATATTGTAATCTTTGGTCAGGTATAGATTTTGACAGCTGTGATTTTTGTTTACGCGAGACAAGCCGAAACTAGTCCCAAGCGGTGATTACTAGGGCATTTTAGGGGAAATTAATATGTTTTACGATGATTTTTTACTGAATGATTACGAAAGATTTACTTTACTTTATTTACAAAAGATTTACTTGTCATATTATAATAATCGAATCGAATCGAATAATGTTAAGATCACACTCTTCAGAGCTTACTGCACGTCTTTCTATACGTGCAGCCTGTGGGCTACATATACTCGAAAAGCATACAACTCCCTCCGTATCCAATACAACAATGCGTTTAGGGTGCTGTTGGGGCTACCCCGCTTCTGTAGTGCGTCCGGGATGTTCGCAGAGGCGCGAGTGGACTGCTTTCACACTATTATGCGAAAACGGTGTGCATCTTTGGTGCGCAGGGTGCGGGCTAGCTCTAACAGCATACTAGCCATGATCACAGAGAGGTTAGATTGCAGGTACATTGGTCACTGCAGCGCCGTCTCTCATGGAGTGCATAAATAAAAATATTAATACTGTAAATTGTCACTACTAACATAGGATAAGTTTTATGTATTACTAACAAGCAATGACTCATGGTTACTCCAATAAAATGATTATTATTATTATTATAATCAATTCACTTTAATTTACTTTAATTGATATGAAATTCACATTTTACGCACACAATACTAGTTTAACTTAAAATCACCACAATCTTTTAGTTTATGTTAAAACTATAATATTATTCTAGAAATATAACAATCAAAACATTGTTTGACATTTCAACATGACGAGTGTTGATAAATAACTTGAACGTCGTGGAATCACTTTTATTTTAATATTGCTATTTTTAATTTTGGACGAACAACAAGCTTGTTAATATATTAATATTGCTACACTAGCCAATAGTATACTATTCACAAATTAACAGAAATTATGTTTGTAAAAGTAAATTATTTTTTAAATAATTAGCTGTTTAATACGGAATAATAATGTCAATCATGCGGAAACGTAATTGAGAACAGACTGTAAGTTCAAATCAGTTCTTGAACCTAGGTTTAACTGAGTAAAACTTAAAACACGTTCTATTATAAGATCGATTCTGAAGTTTTGATTTGCACTTAAAACTAGTTTCAGGCAATCAGAGTTTAATCGATACTTAAGATGTCTTTTAAAATACGGGCCTAAATGTAATGAAATCGTAATGGGACATACCATTAAGTTGTATTTCTTGTAAATAATATTTAATCATCGATGTTCGCGTTCACCATGTTTTGCTCATTCCCGCGAAGGTACACGGTTTTAAGTTTTCGACAATAACAACTTCACACATCTCACACACGGCTTTCTGATCCCAAACATGGCAGAGCCTGTGCTATGGTAACCAGACTGCTGATAAACATACTTTTATATTTCTAAATACATATGCATTTTTTTACCACATTCACACAACGCCATCTAAGTCCCAAACTAAGCAGAGCTTGTACTATGGGTACCTACTAGACAGCTATTATTATTATTTTTTTTTTTTTTAACTAATACCTTTAAACGAGCAATTCTTGTGTGTGTATATATATATATATAAATATATATAATCTAAATCTCGGCACCGGCTCCAACGATTTTCATGGAATTTAGTATGCGGTGGGTTTCGGAAATTCGGAGTCTCCGAAAATGTATCATATTGTATAAAATTAAAGAAAAGTTTGGTTTACTATTTAATATCTTGCAAATCGGCAGATTTTAAGAAAATATGAAATTAGTAAATTATATTTTATTTAATCTTATTTTTAACCTTTAGTTTCTCTGCTTGTAGACGTATGTTTTGAATAGGTCCAAAGTTCCGACAATAGAATGACTGTTAAAGACTTGTATGATTAACACTTGTGTGATTTTGATAAAAATATCAGTTTCAGTATTATGAAAGAAGGTAACCACCGAAGAAGGATAGGAACAACAGAGTTAATAGTAACAGAAAAACAATTTGTAATTTCGTAAATATATATATTTAAATTTATATCTTCCATCAATACATACAACGACATTTATACATTCAAAAATTTGGCCGTAACTACAAATAGGTCTCACATTGTAATGGCGTCGCTTACATGTAAAAACTTGTAAAGATTAATCTATAATAATACAGGCGCGAAATATAAAAATAATCCGCATTAGTGTTTACTACAGTTAATTGTAAACAGTCAAGGAGCCTACATACTCGTACATCGGAGTCAGACCTATTTATTTGATAACACGGGGAAGACATTTTTTTTTTCACAACGGACATTTAAAATCGAGCGAAACAGCACCGTCTTGAGTACCAAGATTAAAAAACTCACAAATCCTACCCTACAACTGAATTGCACGAAACGAAAAAACGTATCATATTGATGGAGGAGAGATATTTTACAAAATAAAACTTATCGACATATCTTCGGTGTACGCTAGGAGCTATAAAAATTGAAAATAATACAACTAATTTAATTTCATAACTAGTAAGACATTACAATCCCTTACCACGAGATCAGCGACAAGTTGACGACACCCGGCGTTGTGTTCGCATTTCCAATTGCATAAAATATTTCATTTTTACGTACGTACGTTGGAGTTTCTGTATGTCTAGTTTGATGGACGAATTGCAATGCATTGAAATATTCGGGACAACAGAGGTCTATAGAAAAGGTAAATATCATAATAAAATTATATCGAAACTGGAGACGTGAGAAGTCCCTTTGGTTATTTTGTCATATCCTTACCAATTGGTGGGAATTTAGATTTAGTAATCTTTGGACTAAAATCTCTGAATAAAAAGTCATTTTATGTCCGTCCTCTTTCTGACTAACCATTAATTTAATCGCATATTGCAACAATTTGCGAATTAAACATACAACACTTAATATCTACTATAATATAATACCTAATTATTTTATAAAGTAACAAAATTAACTTATATTTACAGTTATCATTAAAATTATAGTAAAATTTTACTATTTTAGCACTAAATTATGATTATCTTGCTGATATCTGTTCAATTGTGATCAATGAATAAAGTTAATTTGACTTGAAATATTTTTAGTGAAAGCTATCACATGGTAGAAATTGTTGATTTAGTGCTCCGTAATACTGCGCCGAGTACACGTGGCCTGCAAAGAAAGGCGCTGAACACATTACCTATAAATAAACTGAGCACAAAACTTTCGTTTCAACGGTCCTTTCAACATTAAAAAACTCTTGTCGTTAGGAAATTAACAAATATCGAAATACACTGTTTTGTAATTCATTTATTCAAAGGTGTTTTTGTTGTATGTGTTCAGGAACTTTAGGTGCTTACCGTGCTATTTGCACGATTGTTATTATTATACGAAAGCAAGAGAACCAAAAATGATTTAACATGTTTCTATAAGGCACCATTGGTTGAATGGATATTTAATATGAATGTAAAACATAGTGTGAAGAAATACATGTGTTCTCGATAGTGAGCCTTTATTAGTTGTTAGGTAATTTATTCCACTGGTGGCTTCATGAGATCAAATCCATTTTAATTTTATGAAATTCTTAAATTGTATATTAAATCATGATAATGTTAACGATCTTCGATACACACATAGGTCGGGGCTAGAATTAAAAGATGCTAGATATTCCTTGTATGTACATAAGATACGATGATTTTTATTAAAGAGTTGTGTAGTTAACTTGTTTGTGAGCTGGGGATTGCGAAGGGGGAATTATGAAGTCGCAATGCGCGACCAGCGCTTGTGCAAGTGCTCAGTCCTCATCCTTCTTCTCCATTTTCGGTTCGTACATTGCGTGGAGTTGCTCTGGTGATATTCTGCAAATGACACATGTTAATTAATAAAATTATCTATATATTTACTTAGTCGTTACTGTGTCTGTTACTGAACTGTCACTGAATGGCGAGCGATTCAAATTATACGCACTTATTCGTCTGACCTATCTTTTGTAAATAAAGGCTAATGATACGTAAGTATACAACCATGGATTGAACTAGGTGACTTCAATTGGAACAGAAAGACATTAATAAGGTAGTAATCATATTTATTTCTTAAAAGGTAGGACGTATAACAGGCAGATACATACAACAATTTTAATAGTACAACACTTCCAACTTTTGCCGCATTAAAAAAATTAGAAATACAATGTGTCGTGTAGAAAACATACATTTTGATTTCTTGTATCAAAGTCGCTTGACTTGAGATGTGACTACGTGTGTGTAAAATTATGGTATTTGTGTGTAATCAAGTCTGAATAAAAAAAAAAATCAAATCATTCATTTCTGACAACCTGAAATTCAGAACTGACCAGTTTGGAACTCAGAATCGACTCGTGTTCAACTCCAGTGAGTTTCAGTTAATACTTCTATACCTCGTCATACAAGGCAAAACTAATAAACAATTGCCAACGGAAAATTACATTTTGATGGCGATAAGTAACAGATATTTTCCACTAAAGAAGCAAGAGTGGAAAAATATATAGCCTAAACTTACAAATTTAGATGATATTTGTAATAGAAGTTGAGATTTAAAAAGGGTAACTACTATTGATTTATAACAAATCTGTAATTAAATATAAGTGTAGTAAAAATAAGAGCGCTGAAGAACTATTTTGCAGCAGATAACTTTTATTTTTATTTCAATTTTCACAAACTAAACGGTAATTTACAAAAAAAATGAAATATTTGCTAAATTTGTTTTACTTATTATTTAATGTTTTAAGGTTGGTGTTTAAATAGTTACCCTAGAAGGCTCTGGAGGTCGCAAACGAAGCGGTAGACGTAACGCTTGCCAGCGGTCTTGTGGATGATATTTTTGTCGTAATAGTAGCGAAGTCCACGGGAAAGCTTCTCATAATTCATCTTCGGCTTATTCTTGCGAATGCCCCAGCGTCTAGCAACCTGTACATAAACATTTTATGTCTGTCATTGATATTCTTCAAGTTACGCATCGCTAGTGTAATAGTATGAAATTCATAATGAAAACGTTTTAAGCGTCTTTTAACATTTTTGTAATTTGCAATTATTTGTCTAAACTACAACACACATGAAATATAAATTAAGCTTTCTTATGTTTGATAAAATTTCTTATTAAATTTCCTAATTAAGATTTATTTGGTATTCAATTTGGAATATCGGTAGCTACTTTTGATAGTAAAAATATACATATAATAGTTTGTCTATATACTAAGAATTTATTTTTACGGGTTTATATAATATGTTTTAAAGTGTAGGTATGTTAATACATATGTTATGGAGGGAAAGAGGAGAACCATCTCTGTGTATAAAAGTGGTGCTGCGGTAGCCTGGGATAAATTTATATTGGCTTAAATAATATTAGACGCTGTGTACTAGACAGCGAAAATAGTCAATGAGTTTTAAGTATAATAGCAAGACTTAAAAGTATTATAATATTTTAACTCGGTACACTTCACTCCGTCTACAACACCTATGTTCATATCGTAGTTTTTCGTACGCCAGCGACCTCTATTTTCAGTATACAGCTGAACACTTTTTCAACCATAGCATACTTGCCAACCATATGAGATGATGGTTCTCCTTGCGTCTACACTCTATAGTATGTATACCTCTTTTATAACCTCAGGACTACTAAGGGTACAGATTTTTATGGTTATACAGGTTTTTAATCAGAGAACTATAATATAATATATTTTATTAAATACCTCATCCGGATCGGTAAGCTTGAACTCCCAGCCATCGCCGGTCCAAGAGATGAAACCCTGGCAGCTTTTGTCGGTGAGCAGCTCTAGCAGGAACTGCCACAGTTGGATAGGGCCTGAGCCTGAAAACGTAGCACACAGTTGCTTTACGATATACGACTAATTGTTTATACTACATAACGGTTCGTTATATCTTAATTTTAGCTGGAATTAACGTGCTAAGTAAAGGTCTATTTTGCTTGTGCATAATAAACATAAAGTTTCTCCTTTAGTGCACTTTTGGCCCCTCGACAAATTTCTTATAAATTGTAACTTGTTTTAAATTAAATCTTCAAAAACGAAGTAGCTGAGTTTTATAAAAAAGAGCTCAGTTTAATATGGCAACGAATCAGCATAGATTTTGTAAAAAATGCTAAAATAACAACATTTATCAGTTAGATCCTGAAGCAAAGCATCCCAAGTTAACACAATAATTAGGTGTCGAGTAGTGTCCGACCGAGACAGGTATTTCAACCAAAACCGAAAACGAATTTCCGGCCCTTGTTTCAGTTTCAGCGTAAACCGAAACTCAAACTAACATTTTAAAATTTCGATTGTATACTGCAATCTAGTGCATTTTTTAGCATTTAAATCTACCACCTAAAACAACAGTAATGAGGAAGACACACGGCATTAATTCTAAATAAGAGAAAATGTATTTAGGTATATTAAAAAAAAATACGTAGGAGGTATTAAGTACTAGAAATCCACCTAACTAAATGAACTAGATAGGTACCTACATCACGCGATAGGCGGGAAAGAACCAGTTCTCTCCCGCCTATCGCGAGGCAGCTGACTAGGTAATTTGAACGGACCATACGTGTTTTCTCATAGTTAAAGTCAAGCAATTGAATATCATACTTAGTATGAGTTTTTTGGGTGGTTAGAAATGGTTAAATAGGGGTACAGAATGTAATTAAGTAGGTATCACCAACAAATAAATCTAAGGGTCGTATTACAAAATGATACTCGAAACTCAAGAAACGCTTGGGGTTAGTTTTCGCCTTATAAACCTACGCTCAAGAGCTTTATTGGTTTTACAAACTGGTTGTATAATACGGCCTAAGTAATATTTGAATCGAATATAATCTCTTTATGTGTCACAAATATTTAAATAAAACTCAACAGAAGGAAGATCTTTACCTAATAATGCCCATGCTCTATGCCTTTGAGATAAAACAATTTTAGTTACAAGTAAAAACAAAACAACTTCAAATTATTTATGCGTAAAACACAACTAACAAGACGAGTTAGTCGTAGGAGAGCTTTGCTTTGGCACGTATGGGCCGGGCTCGACAGGAGTGATACCGCGGCCTCACAGAAAACCTGCTTAAGCAGTTCTTTCGTTGCCACCGAGTGAGAGAGGTCACCGGAGCCCAAACTCCCCCTTTTCAATGATTCTGGGGGGAAGGGCCTGAAAGGGTGGCAATACACTGGTGACTCTTAAGTAGCAGGTGTCCATGGGCTCAGAATATAGTAGGTACATAACATAACTTTAAAAAATAGGATATGGATAGCCAAAGGAGTCAAACATTTTAAAAACTCACATTGACACATTTCATCAATCATCATCAACAGCCTTTAATAGTCCACTGCTGGACATAAGCCTCTCCTTAGAAAGGAGGTTTCGGCCTACTATACCACGCTGGCCAGACGGGTTGGTATAGGGTTTGTGTCAAGTTTTCCTTCTCTCTGCAGTGTTGTTGTTCTGCGTAGTTTGACACATTTAATAAAATTTAACTCATTAGTCTTAGTTAGTTAGACTTAGTTTTTTGGACTTCAATAGTCGTCTCATATCCATTGGCTTACAATAGTAAAATGCGTGGATACACACCGGTGAAGCAAGGGCCGGAGGCGGGGTAGGCGAGTTTGTCCTGCGGTATGAGTGCATGCTGCTCGGCAGGCCATTCGGTCCATTCTGTGCCGCACGCGCTGCCATAGTCCTGCACGTAACTCTCTCCGTAACCTTCGCCGCTGTAGCGACCGCCACCGCCTAGGCAAAAGGAATAAATGATAAGTATAATTACTTTATAAAAACAAGTACTATTAATTAAATAACAGTTTTTTTTTGTAACATTTTTTAATCAATTATATTTTTTTTCTGTATACAATGTATACATTCGTACAGTATATCTATTATTCTTTAAAATACCTAGCTTCTTAATTTTTCTAATGATATGTTCAACAAATCTATCAAATACCTTTGTAGCTGACGTCGACTCATTCTTAATTCGATAATAGGACTTACAAATGACTATGACTATGACTAATTTATCCATCCCTCCGAAACAATATTTTTCTGAATTAAAGGCACGTCCTTTACCCTATTTTATATCCCTGATAACATGTAGGTATGCACAATTTCGTGATGATCGGAGAAACGGTAAGGCAATGCATAAAGTATTATAAAGTATGTAAGTGTTATTACCTCGAATTTTATAAAAATTAAATAAGAAGTAATCTTTACCTTATATGTACTGACTACAAGTAGGTAAGCGCTATTCTTATTTGGAAGTCCTAAAATCCTTTGATCTCTATTAAATCAAATAATGATATCTAAAAATAAAGTTGGTACAACACCAATTAGACTAAGTATCCCAGTGTAGATATGTAAAACTGTGTCAGAAACGTGATCCGGCCTGAATTAATAACCACATGAAAGGCTCAATTCTGTTAACGAGTGTGGCTGAAACCGTACACCGTGGTTAATTAAAGACGAGTGACCAAAGACTGTGATCTACTGAAATCTTATGGAATACATTGTTAATGTTTGTAATTATGTGATTTGATAACCAGCTTGGATCTGTTATAGATAATTTATTTGATTACGTTTTTAGTTATGTTGTGATAAGTGTTGAGTTGTTGCCTGTTGGTTTAATGGTTAGTGACACTAACTGTTAAGCCAGAGGTCGTGGGTTTGATTTGGTCATTTGTTCTGTGTCTGGGTGTATTTTTATTTATAATATATAAGTATACGTATTTAGAGATATAAAAGTAGCTTTATCAGAAGTCAGGTTGCCATAATACAGGTTCTGACTAGTTTGGGATCAGACGACAGACAGATGAGCGAGGTTATAGAGGTATATATTGAAGTAAAAGTATGGTCACAAAAGATCTACAATTATGAACGCAGAAAATTGGGCTTACCTCTGGGATAAGGCTTGGTATAGGCATGTGGTTGATACTTGGGCTCGTGCGAAAGTAGCGGCTGCGTGTGTGCGTGGGCGTGATGGTAGTAATCGTCGAGGTAGGGTTGCGTGGCGGGCGCTGGCGCAGGTGGTGCCGACGGGTACTCCGGGGGATAATACTCGTCTAGGGGTGAAGCCGCTGCGGGCGCCGTGCCCCCGCTCGCTTCGCTGTAGCCGTAGGCATTCGTCTCGCGAGGACCGCCTGTCGTGTAGCCGCCTGTAACAAACAGAAGGAATTAACTTTAGTGCTTTATTTCTTTAACTAATTATGCTCAGTTTAAAACGTGTGCATTTTATTGGAAACAGTGCATAGTTCGATCGAAGTGGAAATAGCAAATATATGCTTAATATTAGTTATTATTTGCGACTGCGGACCATGTCAAAAAAATTGAATAAGTATTTGTCATAGATCAGTCTCGTGATGAAACGCATTCACATTTACAAAACATACATTTTAATAAAAGTTTTTTTTTATTCATGGCAACTTTTCGAGTACATAATATGAGAACGTTTATTTTCTTTCTAAAAAAAAAGGTTTCACACGATTTTGTTCCCAAATAATAGTTTACCGTCTACTTATAAACAGTCCTCAATCAAAAGGATCCCGAGACATCAGAAACAGCTTACATCAATCAACGTTAGTGTGGAATTTGTATCTCACATCGATATTTTATCTCAACCAGACAAATTTCCATTAAAAAAATCAGTACATGCAGTGTGTCGAGGCGTGTTGGCGCGTGTACCGAAGCGCGACGGTCGCGGTTCACGGCGCGCCCTTTGTTCTGCGCGTGCGCCGCCGGACCCACACACCTCAGCCCCCCCCCCCACCCTTTGCCACACTGGTTTCGCCTCACCCTCGCACCCAGAGTCACGAAACTGTATTGATGGTGCACTTGGTTTGAGGTTTAATTTAATTTGCAAGTGTATGAAAGTTGGAAATTGTAATTATTACTGTAGATACTTATATATTAACTCCAGAAAAGACATTTCGAATTGGAACGTGTCTCTTTGCTTAGCTGGTCAGGTGTGTTTGAGAGTTTGGCACTCGTTTTGTATACCTATGCATCCACATTTTTGCACTATTTTCCTTATTTCCTTCTGCTTTCCAAACGATGGGTAGGTAATAGACGAGTAGGTATAACGAGGAAACGACGAAAGAATATCCTTTATATATTATTTCACTTTAAGTATTAAATATTTGACAAATATTGCAAAATTCTGGTTGCTAATGAAACAGAGAGAAATTCACAAAAAGAACATCTAAACATAAATAGGTAAAAACAAGGAACTCTTCTTTTTAGTCGTTTGTGAAGCGTCTTTCTTGTGTAAGTAGTTTATTTTGGCGGGGTTTAGTGTAAAAATGTAGTCGATGTTAGTGAAAATTGGCAAGTAACCTTATTTAATTTCATAGCCCGCTTTGACCTTTATCGTCAATTCGAACGCGAGTAATTTTCCTGGCAAAAGTCAACAACACGCGTTCACGCAGTGCTGCGGTGTGATTAAACAATTTAACAATAGAGTATCGTGCACATACAATGTCATATATAACTGTATGTAGGTATGTTGCAGGGGTCAGTAGTCGATTATTGTCTGCCTTTTGACCGCTCGTGTGATACTCCATCACTCTGCATAGCGATTAAGTAGGCTTGATATGTGCAATATGTTTTTAATTGTTTATTTGATCAATACGAAAATACTTAAACACATTTTTGAACAATGCATTACCTATGATTTTTATTATCAAATCGAATTAATCTTACCTTATGGGGTCATTTCGATAATACCGTTATCTCCGACACTTTTTTCATTAATGCAAGTTGACGCAACTCCACGATATTTTTTATTGCTTAAAAGACAACTCCCTCTTTAGGAATATATCCTGTGTCACGGGGGACTTTACAAACATACATGACACAAAGAACACCCAGACTCAGAACAATAATTTGTGGATCACACAAAGTGTCGGCCCATATGGGGATCGGCTCCACAACACTCAGCGTAGTAGTAAGCGGCGTGGCGACCGCTTAAACCACTACGCCATCCGTGCAATCAAATTGGCTTTAATTTGGCAATCTAAGTACAATAGAAGGCATCGCGGTAGGTTCCAGTGAAAAGCAAATTTGCAGGCAAAGGCCCTACGACCGCACGATGTCGTTTAATTAGAATCTTTATCATGTAAATATAAAACTCACTCATAATACCTAACCACTATTAGACAAAGTTAAAATTATTACTTTTATGAAACTAAGCTCCTTATACCCAAGACATTAAATATTTTGATAGGTAAGTAGAAGTCTTTAGCATTAAGTTTAATGTCTCATTAATAATCCCAACCAGTTGCATAGATGTCAAACAAGCATATTAACTGTTATATCAAGTTAAAAATTTGCGACTATGTTAAAGATTTAAAATTTATAACAAGTTATTACGATTTTGTGTGATGTTTGTGGCTTTAATTTAACATTTCTATATCGCCGCTGCCTCGTAGGTATGTACAAACTGATGAGCTTTTTAGAAAATAGTAAATAGTACATCTTGACCGACAATTTATAATAATCCTTATTTTTATATGATATTGTTGTATATCTTTCTTATATTTGCCTTACAGATGATAGGCACGATATTTTAAACATTTATTACAATTAATATCTATGAAAGACACAATCACAGTCACTATAGACAGTCAGAAGACAATATAATAAAATTTCATCTTAATATGAAATAGACTTAGGTATATGGTACCGGTGTTTCTAAACTTAAAAACATTTTTGCTAAGAATTTTTTTGATTACTACAGGTGATGGTTTTGTCTTTGTTTAATTACTTCCAATTTAATGTTACACTTGTATTTCTAATCGCGGATATTTGTAAATGGCCATCTGATGTTCATGTATTAGTATTATGTCTTAATCATTTAAAATGTTAGCTGTAATTATCCCAAACAGGGAAAAACAAAAATAAAATAAATTGCTATAAGATATCGAAATACAAATCACGAAAAACTGTAAATACCTAAGTTTGAGGTTTTAAGAAGCTAATTCGAATATTTATTTGTACTTAATAATATTTGATTATGAGATAATTAGTATTTGTATAAATAATTTAAAACTATTTTATTTGTGTACCTAATTAACTTGCTTATCATTAATATGTGTCTGGGTGTTCACATAACTAGTGTTTTTATAACACTGTCTATGTCTTTAATAATACCTACTTTAATTTTTAAAAACTATATAATTGGGTGTTTATAAGTTCCTAACGTTCAAATGGAACCATTGTGCTAAATACGTATACAGTTTTATTTCAAATATTGCACTGTTAATGTTACGAAGCTGATAATGACTACTGGGAATTATTGGTATCAAGGAAATGTCGCAATATTAATAATATAGTTTTGTTGTTTAAAACGTAGGTACGTGAGCTACGTATTTTATCTTAGATGTATATATGTTATACTGGGTATATTCCGTATATTAGTACTTAGCGTTTATTAACTGCCAGACTAAAATATCTCTGCATATACCTAAGTAGCTGTGTAAAGTATTTTTGAATTTTGTAGAATTATGATGAGATTTGATGATATTAAAAAGAAAGTAGAGATAGGTACTTTTGACCTGGATCTACATTTTCAGTTGACCTTTATTATATGTAAAGGTTTTTACCAATCTTAAAATCTCGCGATGTTTCGTCACGAAGTGTTATTGCCTTAGGTTTACCTAACAGTAATCCCGGAGAACATATTGTAAACGTCTCTGGTATACGAAATATAAATTATATGAAGTACTTTTTTACATAGCCTCGTAATATTCTTTTAAATTATTTTATTTATTTTTTACTTATTTGAAGTCGCTTTAAATTACATTGATGTTTTAAACTCAAACTATCTTTATTTCATTAAATTTAACTTCAGCTTAAAGAGATGTAAAATGTTGATGTTATTAGTACCTGTTTGTATTGATTTTTGATCTTACTTAATTACTACTTAGTTGCAAGTTAGTACAAGTACTATATTAGTCTCTATAAGTACAAGTTGCACAAATAAAAAGTCTATTACTTTGAACTTAAACTTTTGATGGCATGGATTAGGTATTTTTGTAAAAAAATGTCATTCAGACAAAAATTCCGTTGTTTGTTTCGCCCTATTTTACCGACATCCAATTATCCTTCGCTTCGTTGGAAATGTCAAACTTCTTTTTTAAAAGTAACAAACGAAGCATCCGATGAACAAACGCGAGAACAAATCACTCAAGTGTCGTATTAACAAATACAAGTATTTTAATGAAGGTATTGTAATGAGCGACAAATCCCTTGACATTGGGGGAAAGACGATAAATTGTGACCGAAATACTGGATTGCGGGGTATCGGTGGGCACCTTGTGATCTTTGCTAAGTTAAGTTTGACGTTTACGTAATTTAAGCGGGACTGTTACTTTTTTTATGGGATGTTTGACATTATTGTATTGTCTATGGTAGTATTTTTAATGTATTATTTTTAAGTGAGAACAACATCGACAAAGTTTATATTTTTTATAGAAAATGTGGTAGTTACTAGGGTTATACTAAATGTAAAAACTATTTTAGAACTTTTAGTTGCATGTATGATGAACTATTACCTAATTCGTCAAGTGTGATAACGATGTCATTTTTTAAAATTTCGAACAAACCAAAATGTTTGTGATATTGATACTTCAAAAATTTCACAATTGAAAACCCTGTCCGTGTAAGGTTAAGTTATTCATTGAAAACTGCTTTTAGCCGCGGCTTTGCGCGGAAATAGAAATTTAGCATTATAAAATATATTATACCTATCGATAAAAAGTAGTTACTATTTTCGAGACAGCAATAAAAACTAAATTTATCTACTAGGGACACCAGTGACACCGCGGGCACCTTAGTAGTGGTCAATATAAGCATAATTTTTTACAATCGTAAGTATAAGTATTAATTACTGTCAAGGAAATTTAGTAGCTGACTATTGATTAACAGCTAGCCATCGTTTATGTTCTTACTTATTGGTCGGTTTGGTGGTTGATATGATTAAACGTATCTATTATAGGTATCTATTAATAATCGCTACTGCAGGTTTTAACATCAGTGGTTTTATGGACAATTTCCGCTCTAACATCCTTTTTTTTACAATCAACATGACATAGACACTATTAACAAACAAATCGAGTGTGACTCATAAGTTAAGTTGTTTAAGTAAACACCCTGTTAA